ACTAATTAAGGGTTCTTTCGCTTGTATCCCCGAAAGACGACAAAATTAGAACTAACTATACTCTCTGAAAATGAGAGATTTTTCCGCCTTTTCTTGTTTGTAATTTTTTTTCTGAATCCAATTTTTTTTATAGCTACATTTAAAGAATTGCAAAATTTTCTGGCCTCTAAAAATGGCCCCAATAGGCCGCGGCCCACGTAGCCACCCCCTAAATCCGGCCCTGATGTGCTTAGCATGATTTGCGGAGCAACTATTTGTGCCTAAAAAGGATCTTTGTAGTACAAACGAGTCAAAAGAATCGAAAGCGCTCTGTCATTTTGGATTCTCGCAGTTCAGTCCGCTGCCTAAGAGTGCTTGGAGAGCCAAAACGCCTTCAATCCTCTCGCGTATGCAACACGGACATCCGTGGAGTTCGAATAGTTGTATCCAGGCAATATAATGGAATATGTCTAGTGTTTATCGCATACGATACGATCTGCAGGTGATATCGTTGTTTCTCTTACACCTTACCTTAATTTCAGAGTTACATATTGTGCTGATGAAGTAAACTTTCACTGATTTTATTGTCGCATTGTCAATTTTCCTGAGAAATGCATTGATTGTTTATATTTTTTACAACGTTGCTGGCCTTCAAAATGGCAAAAAAAAGAGGGCACCTGAGCAAGATTTGTAGAGCTTCCTTTAACCTACATTAACGAGTCATCATTTGTTTGGATTTTTTTTCTTCTTTTGGAAAAATGTTTTTAACTTATAAGTGAGAAATTTTAAAGGAGCGGTCTTCGAAGCCGGCCCAAAGTTCCTCGCATAAAACCCTAGGTAAGGCTTCAATAAAATTCCTGTATATGTTCCTTCTGTTCTTTAAGTTTGCCTTTATTTAAAGATTTAATTGCGCTTTCGAGGTGAGTCTCAACAATATTCTATTTGTGCTATTGGGCAATGCATCTCACTTATAGGTTAAGCGCTTCTAGGTACCGTCCACCGTATGACGCATACATAATGAGCTTTGTAGGTACATTGAGAGGAAAGTGTGAGCTCCAGATCGAGCGCATTTTTCCCCCATGGTAATCTCAGGGATTAGTTCACGTGAAATTACTAAAAGTTTCCATTTTTTTAAAAAGAAAATTGACCCGACTCCTCCTTCTGTGATTTCTTTTCAACTCTTAGCACTCATTGTTAGAAAATAGTTGCCTTTAAATTATCTATTGAAAAAAAATAGGGGAAGCAGTGCTTCCCTTGCTTATAGAGACACCACACTACTGGGGGCTAAATCTTCCAACCCTACGGAGGGGCAAAGAAGGGGGGGACACGTGACCGATGTTAGCCCCCCCCCACCCGAAAATCATAGCGAGAGTGATTCCTCAACTGGATTTCCGCGGTTGCGCTGCGGTTCACATAGTTGATGTGCTTTTATGGGTCACGGACGCGGAGTTTTGTTTTCTTGCGTGGCTCCAACGTTGTTGTCTTGTGGTATATAATATCTCTTCTTTATTTCATGGGACACCTTTACCTTGTCTTCGTTCATTCTGAGTTTTCTGTGCGGTGCAAATACCTAGAGAAAACAGGATTCCAGCCCCGACATCGCCCTATCTGCGGCCGAACTTAGTCGGAAAAAGCGGGTTCAAGTACCTTTTTGAATTAGGATAAGTCGTAATCGTACTTGAAAGTGATTTGTATGGGTTCTTGGCGTGGTTGAACTGGTGTAAGACACATAGCATGGATTAAGTAAAAAATCTTGGCGATTCTTGACTTTTTAGCCCAAGAAGAGAGAGAGAGAAAAAAAGGAAGAAAGAAAGAAAAGAAAAATATGGCGTTCTCTGCAAATTCTGAATGAAATCAAACAGATTCTGAGATATCGCTGTAGGTACACAGATGTGGGGGACGTCTGACGGACCGACACACATTTTTTCAAGTATGGTTATTTTGACTCCTGGGACCTTAAAGAAATGATTAAATTTCAACTTTTTTTCCCCACCTTGCAGGATGACAATACTTTCTCTACCCTAGGGTAGCGAGAAAGTAAAAATAATCGATTGCTCTAGGTAGCAGGACAAGCCTAACTGGATTTGTTTGTTGTGTCTGGATATTCCACGTGTCCGACCATTGACGATAAATCAACCTATCGGAAGATTGCATTCATTTAAATTCGCCTTCAATTTCGCTGGATAGGCAACGAACCAACCAATAGTAGTGCAAAATCTACGAGAACTGGAGAAAGAAAATATTGAATAGAGGTCACATCAACTTGTGTGCATCAAGCATCACTTAGTTGGCCCATTGGTTAGCATATATGTTACGGGTAATCTAGTCAAACCGGGTAATGTCGACATTACCCGGTTTGACTAGATTACCCGTGACATATACATTTCTGTTGTAGGTATGTCTTCATTTTCTGATGTGACTTCAGCCTAATCTTTTTTCCCCCAGTTTCACGGAAAAAGAAATCCCTCTTTTATTAGCAAAATGAAATTTGGCATCCTGGTAGAGGCAGACAATGGTCGAATTTTTCAAATCGATCCTTACAATTAAGAATATTCAGCTTTCTTCTTTGGCACAAATTGATTTTTTTTTTTTTTTTTTTTTTTTTTTTTTTTTTTTTTTTTTTTTAGTCGATTTTTACAAAATAGGTATCTGCATCTCCACCGGTTGGGTAACACGCCTACCTAAATAGCGAATGGTTATCTACTCGAAAAACATACAGTGGACGTTTCATTACATTACTTTAGACGCACCGTGGCCTGCGACGTACAAATAGCCCCTCCAAGGAATAATTAGTTGCATTCCCTGCGAGATAGATGAAATATGAACTGTCGACATTTTGCAACCATACAGTGGCCAGGAACGTTGAGAAACGCGAGCTGCGCCCGGACATCGATTAGAACTCCGGACGTCGAATAATATTTATCTCGTCTGAAATTCGAGGCAGTCTCGCAAATCTTCAAAATTATTTATCGAGTCGTAATTTTCTCATCTCTGGACCAGCCCTTCCTCCCCCTGGCCGGTGCCCCCCCCCCTCCTCCCCCCGCGATCGATTCGCATTTCTGGCCGAGGATAATACATTTTGTATGATGTTTGGCGAAGGGCATATACGACCGACACTACGCCTTCATTGAACTTACGCTGTATCAACATTCCAAGATTGCCAATTTTTTCCTGATAAGGTATTTGAATCGTTGGGTACAGTTATGGCATTTCTTAGTTTCGGCGTTTTAGAATCTCCAGTGCGAATTTTTATTTTGGACATGGCCGGATTTGAATCGTTGGGTACAGTTATGGCATTTCTAAGTTTCGACGTTTTAGAATCTCCAGTGCGAATTTTTATTTTGGACATGGTCGGATTCACCTACTTGCCGCCCATGGGCCGCCTGTATTTTGCCGCCCCCATCTCATTCGTTTTGAAACTCGATAAAAACCATCAAATGGGCGTGTCCGCGGAGGAGGGGTGCATAAGACGCATTTACTCGGGTTGAACACATTTTTTTGGGAAAGCCTTGTCGACATTACTAGCAAAAGTTCACGGAACTTTGCGCGAAAGTTATAGGTTCCGCAAACCCATCTCTGTGTGGACAAGGCCTTCCATTCATAAGAAATGAACGAAGAAATCATGAAAGAACAAACATAAATGTAGTTTAATGATTTTAACTTCCGCCGCCGCGCCGCGCAGACTGCACTGGGCTTGGCGCAATGCGTGAAGTATTCCGACAGTCTTGTAGGCGCTATCCGTTTCACGCTGACCGCTGCTGACCGCGCTGTGTTTGATGCAATGCGTGAAGTATTCGTGCAGTCTTGTAGGCGCTAATATGTGTTACCTACATGCCGATCGCCGCGTCGAGGGCTTCTCCTTTTCATCTCAAGTCCTTATTGTTATCATTTCTCTGTAAGTCGTGCCGTTCCAGGCCAATTGGCCGTGTTTGGTTTCTCTCTTAACTCGACTTATTGAAAGTGCTGTCTCTTGTATCACTAAGAGACGACAAAATTAAAAATTACTATACTCTCAGGGAATGACAGATTTTGTCGCCTTTTCTCGTTTGTAATTTTGTTTTTATAAATCCGATTTTTTTAATACCTACCTTTTAAAAAATTGCAAATTTTTGCCGCCCCTTAGATTTGCCGCCATGGGCAGCGGCCCATGTGGCCACCCCCTTAATCCGGCCCTAATTTTGGAGAGGAAACCATTGGGTGAATTTCCTAGAATTTTACGTTTCTAGCACTGTAAATTCGTGAAGAATTCAGTAAAATTTACAAAGAATTACATACATTTTCTTCAATTATGATGGATGAAACATTGGCGGAGATTTTGAGACTCTGCAACCAAGAGTTGTCCTTTCTGAACCCAGCGCTCCATTTATTTTTGGGGAAAGTTATTCATATGTTCCCCTCAAATGTCCAGGTATTTGCTACTTATCGCTACTTTCTTTATCTACCTCAGTTATGAACTTAATAAAATAAGGTAACATGCATTCTGCATGACCCTTTGTATCGTTACCTTCCGGCCAAAGTACAAGCGCCATACAATCTTTAAAAATTTTCGCCGCCATTTTATTTTTTTACTGAGACATTGTTGGTTGAAGCTGTTTGAAAATTTCTTTGAATATTATCAATTAAACTTTGTTTATTCTCTGGGGAAAAGATCATCTAGTGTGTGATCCCGCTCTTCTGTAAGTGGCTGTTTATCTGCAACATGGAATTAGGCCAATCAACTGACAACAACAACAACAATATCGGCAGCACAAAGGAAATTCAGTGAAATTTACGGACAGCTGTGATAAACAATGACTCTAAAGAAAAAAAGAAAAAAAAAAAAGAAAAAAAAAAAATGGTGGTCAATTGTTAAACGTCTCTGGGCGCTAGTGATACTTTGGCCGGAAGGTGCGATGGTATGATGGTGGATAAATGCCAAAAATTCATTTTAAATAGGTAATTTGTAATAAGTTATACAATGTACTATGAAAATTGTAAAAAGGAAGATCAAAGATCTTATTCAGGGAAATGAGGAATAAAAATTTTCAGGTAAAATAAATTTTCGTTTATTTTTATTTACTTCTGTTACACATCATATCATATTTTTCCTTAAATTGGTATTATCACAATCAAAATGGAAACTATCAACCTAAAAATAAGTGACTGTTCTGTTTGTTGGCTATTTTTCAAATCTATCATTTTCTAAGTGATTATGTTACATTGAATGGTATCCAATTGTTTTGTAGAATTTTTCTCGTAGCAGATAGATGTTTTAGGGGTATTGTTTATACATAGAAGGCTACTCTTTTTTTCCTTCAAGTTGAATAGAACATTATCCCTTGTTTTTCGTTCGAGATATTTGCACGTAAATGGTCAAAATAGAAAAAAAAGAGCATGTACCTAGATCAAATTAAGGGTTTTAAAATGTTCTCTCTGGTTTTATATTTTTTAAAGGAAAGTAAATTATACTTTCGCATGAAATTTCACAAATAAACAGAGTTGAGTTTCCTGCATAAATAGAAATTATGATTGGAAGTTTGTAACGTCCCACACCAACATGTTTAATTGATTTATTTATGGTTTTTACTACCAATGTAGATGAGTAAACTCTAAAAACAGACTCTATTATTTCTTAAACGCATTTAAGTGAACAATTGCAACATCTCAAAATTATGGCTTTCAATTTAATTTAATTTGTTTATTTATTATTTTTCTTTTTATTGCTCAAGATTTTTAAAACATTTTCTTGACCTTAGGAGAAAAATTCATTTATATTTTCTCCTAACGATGATAAGTTTACCATAAAACTAATGCATGGTGTTGAAATAACTTGCAAATTGAGGTGTCGGTCTCAGAGTTTTGTATACCTGCAGTACTTATCAGAATTTGCCTATTTCGTTTGAAACGTATAATCATAATCAATGGTTAAATATACAGCTCCTTTTACAATTGTTATAATTGTTGACAAGTTTAGAAAGCAGAAATTATGGATAATTTGATTTCTGTACAAAGGTGGAAATTACATTTTGTACATGGAGATGAAAGGGAATTCAAATGGTATCAGAACATTACAAAACTATGGGCAGCCTTAGACTGAGCATATTTACACAATTAGAAGAAGAAACAAAAACAGAGACAAGAATACAAAAAATTAAGAAAAGAACATGGTATGAATAGGAATCAACATAGGTACTTAAGCGATAAGTTTCTAACATTTTTCAACTCCACACATGCTTGTTTAAGTTTTCGTGAAACATTTGAGAGACATTTGTCAAAACTTAAGATAAAAACAGAGGTTCACTCTTCAAAACACACTTTGAGAATAATTAATTATGAGTGTGCACATTGAAATTTGTCGATAATAATTAGACTCGGAGAAAAGGAGTCTATATGAATAAGGTTTCCATCAATCTCCAGATGGGTTTAATTTTTAATGGAATTTGATTGCAAAACTCAGTGCCAAACATACTTTAATAAAATGTATCTTAGATAAACCAAATATGTACTTCCTTCAGAGTTCTGAGTTCTATCAATCTGTTAAAATTAAACCTAATTTTAAATGTTTTGAACAATATTTGTTTTCGGCTGTTTTTTAGGAAAGAGGTCGCATTTCTTCTTGCTACTTAAAAGCGTCTCCATCCATTTTTTTCTGTGGTTAAAATATCCTAAATCCTTTCCCTCTGACATTGTTCCTAAAATGGAAAATGTATGCAGTAACAAAAATTCTTGTGTTGAAGCATTTACGGCAAACAGAGTGGAAAATATGATTTAATTTAATTTCTTCTTTTTTTCATTAAAAAGAGAAGCATGCTGAACTTTCAATTAACTTTTAGCAATGTGAAATTAAAAGATACCATCCAACAATGAATCAATAAATGCAAAATTACAGTTACTTCACCAGTGAAAAATTCATTTAGATCACCAAGGACAGACTCAGGCTTCAGAACCAAGAAATTACAACTGATCAATCTGCATGAACACATATCATATAATGTCATAAAGTACAATTCTATTACACAGATTCGCAGAGGAAAATATTTACCCCCTTATCATGATCAAAAGATTAGCAAATTAAGTTCCTCAAATACTATTATAGTTACTAGCCATTTAAATTCACTAATTCTTGAAATTTTAATTCCTATCAGATTACAGGACATCTTTTCAAAGGAAAAGAGGGCATATAAGCTCTAGATCATTCGCTCATTATACCTCAAGAGATCATGCATTCTTCCCCACAGAACCTAGATTACAAAAAGAACTAAGAGAAAAAGTACAAACGAAAAGAAAGATGATGCAAAACGTGAAGTTAAAATCAAGACTTTAACTTAGCTATTACCTTGGGATTTAAAACTTAAATGCATCAGCAATTTCAACAATGATTGATTCAGTTCCATTTTAAGAGTAAGTCAAAATGAATAATTAAATAAATAAGTAAAAAAAAAGAGGATAGAAAGAAAAAAATTGGAGGGAAAAGATAAGGTAAATTGATGACTCAATGTTGTGCTGATGATAATGCAAATAGCTGATACACCTTGCAAAGCCAAGTTTTTTGTGTCTGCAATGGTTTTTTTCTTCTTCTTCTAGGTCTGAAACATTAATTTGAAAAAACTGGATTTAATATTTTTGACAGAGATAGAAAAAAGAAGAAAAAAATTGGAGTATGATATATATGTATGAAGTATAGATGTGCAATTGTGCATCATGAAAACATTTTACAGCATGAGAAATGTTCCAGTTAATCTGGCATTCACATAAATCAGAAAAAAGCAATTATTAGTAATTTGTTAGGTGCTATGAGACAGACAAAATAATTGTCCTTGTAAGGAATGAAGTTCTGCAATATACTGGTACAACAGCAATCGGAGGACTTATTGATCGTCTGTTCCTCACTGATGATCATATTGTCAGCAAAAGCATTTTTCCTACTCCACCATAGGTTTGTTCCATTGCAGATCAGTATAATTTTCAAGGCCATGATCGCAATCACAAAGGAAAATCACCGAGATTTGAGGATTACCAGTCACAGATACTGTGACGTTCAAGTAACACCTTTTAATTGCATCTTTCTTATTTTTCTTAAAAATACATGATTTTTTTTTTATAAAAATTGAATGATTTTGTTGAAAATTATTTTACCAACCAAGGCACACCTAACACTGGAGTTTATCCAGCTAGGAGGCGCTAAAGAGAAAAACAGGGACCCTTTAAACAATGGACCCTAAGACAAGGTACAAATTTAAGCATTCTGATGTATATTATCTCTTCAAAGTTTCACTTAGATCTTGAGTTGCACCGCAAAAATGACATATTGTACCTCCAAACCAAGATGATAACGTTTTTCTTTGGCACTGGTTCTGAAAACTTAGAATTTCCACTCACAAGAAAAACAAGAGTCTACTCGAATCAAATTGCACACTGCAACGGTTTCAGCAGGCTCCTTAATCAAGCAGTGTTTCTTTCCCACCCTGGGTTGTTCAAAGTGTGAACAACCTGCAATGAGTGAGCAGGAGCGCCAAGATTTAGGTTATCATATTCTTATATCGAAAGTACTGTCAGGTTAACATTCAATGTGCGATATAACTCAAGCATTATGAGTAAAAAGTTTGAATCTATGCACTTAAAAACGCTGATATCTTGGTTAGGAGTTGCTTTCAGTAATTTCTGTTGTATAGATCATGCTCGATTTGAAATGTTGTTAAGAAAAAATAAATACAAAAATCATATAATTCTTAAATTCATACCTTGTCCAGTGGTACATTGTATACATGGACATGAAAAGTAAGTGATCTTGAGTTTTGTACGTCAAAAAAAGTTCAGTTCGCAATCTATGGCAGACATACTTCAACTTTTACTAAAAATTTTGTTGCATCAATTCCTATGACAAGATATTTTTCATACAAAATGCCGAAGTTGAAAAAAGTCACAAATGTTCTAAAGTATTTAGAGTCGCTTACATACCAAAATCACTTATTCTGTTTCAATTGTTTCTTTTTCAGGTGGACAAACTTTCTTTGCTGCTGAAACGGTTTCATTGGCTGCTAATTTTTTTTGATTAGATACTCTCCACTCTAAGGCTTTATACAACTGATCTGCATCTTTAGGACTAGCCTGTTATAATTAAAACAAACAGCAGGATTAATACAATAAAAAATCAATCAGAACCACAAATTCAAGGACATAAGTCATCAAAAATATAAGTTGACTACAAAAGTTATAGAAATATGTTATGATGATTAAAATATCTAATTTTAGAGTCACACTTAGAGTGAAACTTAACTTTTACGAAAACCTGGAGGATGCTATTATCTACCGTACTATGGGATTTAATCATTTCTTCTGAATTAGCCGTATACATTGAAGAAACTTACATTTGTACTGTATTAAATACATTGTTGTAACATACTCAGCTGCATTAGTACCACTTTTTGAGAATGGATATTTATTTATTCATTATTTAATAAGATTTATTTTCCAAATTCTTATTCTGTCTCAAATTATATCGACACAAATTTTTGCAGAATTCATGCTAAAAATTTATTTTAAGGATAGCTACTGGAAATCTCAACGTATTTATTTGAAAAATGCCTTTTTTATGATAGGTATAACTAAGAAAGAAAACTGAGGGAGCTGCGATCTAAGCTCCTTACCTTGTGACGGGAAACAGTTCTTACTAGAAAGCTCTGATTTTGAGTAGAAATTATCTTCTAGAGGCTTTTTCTGAACTCAAAAAACAGATCTGACTTTACATGGGTAATATTAGTCTTCTTGCAAAATTCGCTTTTAGAACCAGTCACTAACCCAATCTTCAAACTTTGTGAAAGGTTCATTGTGTTCTTGCGTGATGGACAAGGAATGTATTTCAGTGCCCAAAAGGAACTTACCATGATGAGGAAAATTTTGATGAGTCCAGAATTGTCCATGGCAGTGATTTGAACGCTCTTTTCGCTTGATTTTTTAATAGTCATCTCAGACCAGATCTGAAATTCAGAGGATTGCAGGGCTTGAGGTTGTATGCCCATTACGCACATTCACACATTTTTTCATGAATAAAATTAAAACCAGTCTAATACACATTTTAAAATACATAAAGATTTTTCCCTGCATTTTGCTTTGGCTTCAGTTCATCATTGTACACAAAAAATGATTAAAACAGATATAATTGTTTTTATGTCAGTTTGTTCTTGCCTGGTTCACTGAGGACTTTAGCCAGCCAGGGGTAGATTTTAAAATTGGAAAAGTTCTACTTACGGAGGTTAAGGGGTAAAACAGGCTTTAGTACCCTTAAAACTTTGATGGTTTACCTTTTTATGGCTATGGAAGACATGTAGGACCTGATCAGTATCTCATAGGAAATTTTGCAAAAACATGATGAGAGCCACACGGATAGCAAACAGCCCCAGCATAAAAAAGGGAAAAAAGTATGTTCTTTAAAGAGAATTTACTACTTTCAGGCTTAATAAATACAAAACCGTCTTTGTTGGCAGATATTTTGAGTTATATCAATTCTCAGCAAGGAGCTCCAACCAGGTCGCTTAATATGAAATTCAAAAATAAAAATTTCATTGAAATGATTTAACTGTAATAAATTTCAGTAGAACAGATGAAAAGAAACCAGCAGTTAAGTTGTTGAAAAGCACTTTACCTTGGTGTTAAGAACAACTCTAAGGTTGCCGACTGTTCTAACAACGACTCTGGATGATGTCAATTTACTTCCGGATTCTTTGTCATTAACTCGCAGAGTCCCTCTTCCTCTCTCGGTCCATGTTCCATTTTCATTATTGAAAGCAAATAATTTGCAATTTATCTATAAAAAATAAATAAAAATTACGGAAATCATTACTTGAAAAGTTATTTGATGCCTGGTGCTACAACTTCCTATGCACACCTTCAAAAATGGTTCAATTCAGTGATCAGAACACATACGCAAGAACAGAAGGAAAAGACAAAAAAGAAGGAAACAAAAACGATAACAGAACATGCAATGACAGTAATTGACTTCAGTTTTTTTCTGTTCAATGTTTCCTTTATTTGCCTGTTGAAAATGGGAGCATCAGCTTGAAACGGCAAGATTTTATTTTCTTAATTTTCGAGCCTTTACCTCAGGTAGATTATTCTAGTGGTGTATTAGCATTTTCAGGCTTATTAAGTTGTTTTCCACTTTACCTGAAGGACATTGCTTTCTTCTTCTTCTCCAGTGACAACTTGAACTTCTTCATATTTCCTCTTTACAGCTCGAGCTTCTTCATACTCTCTTGCAGCTTCACTTAGGGATTTTCTTTCACTTGTTTCCTGTCAAAAGGAAGGTACAGAAATAAGGATGGCAGAGAAAGTGTCAAACATTACAAGTTACATTAGTCCAATCCTAATGACCAAAATAAAGAAAGAAAGATAAAAACATTCCTTGAATCAAAACGCATTCAAAATTTTTGAGAAATACAAAGCTCCTAATCTTCATCATACTGCTGAAACTACCGTCTAGGAGAATCATTATATATGTTGGAAATTCTTATATTTCGGCATTTTTTTTCCAACTTCAAACCATTGAAAACTTGAAAAAATATTATGGTTAACTTCCTCTAGGTCAAACTGCATAGGAACCAGATTATTAGTTCCCTTTGGAGAGAAATTCCACTTCAAGAGCTTTTTTTTCTTATGAAAAATTCAAGAGGACCTTGAAAAAGTTTGATGTGGCGAATGTTCCACTCCTGTATTGTAATGATAAAAAAAGATACGAGATGGATCAGCTCCGTCGGATTTGACTTTTGAACCCATGCACAGTGGGGGGGGGGGGGGGTAGGGGTTCCCTGACCTGAGGCATTCATCACCTTCCAGCTGAAGTATCACGAGTGTCATGTATGCTTCGGCACAATGTTGCAGAATTTCTTCTAGAAAAATTTTTTTATGGAGAAATTAATGAACAGAGTCAACTCTACTTACCTACTTTTTTCCATCAATATGAAATTTTCATGAAAGTTTGCGCAAAAGTTTTACAGAAAAAATCTAAACAATATTGAGATGTCTAGCAACATAGCATCTAAGAGTAAATGGTGCTGGTGATACTTTTAACAAAGTACCCCTGGAAATCCTGATGGTCAAATCTGGGACACCTTGTAGATTAAAAGAGCAAACGATAAAACTTACATTAGATTTGTTATCGATGGATTCTTTCTGCAGCACAGACGAGAACAGCATTTGTGATGTGGTACCATTAGTTTTGGATGCAACATTGCCATCTTCCTGCTGGATAAAGATTTAAAATTTTATTAGCTTACCAGAAAATTACTCAAGAAAAAACGCCAATGCAAAATATAATTCTGTCTGCAAAATATTTGAGAGATTAATTATCCACGAACTCATCAGCACAAATTTGAAAAGGAGGTAGTGGTTGGATATGAATTAATTTTTGTGCCAAATTGATTGGGGGGGGGGGGGCGCCGGATAAGAGCTGGCCCAGCACAGAGCGGACCGTCATTTTAAGTTGATCCGTTAAATCATATTAAAGTAGGGGAGAGAAAAGGAAAAAAAGAAAGACATAGACATCGAGATTAGAAGAAAAAAACAAGTTGAGAGTGATGAAAATATACAAGTAGATACTTACACTTGAACTAGCATTTGCCTCTGACGACTGTTCTAACCTGGAAGATTCTGGTGCTGCGGCTTCTGTAGTTTCCTGTGGAATCTGTGCAAAAAATTCATGTTTTCAGATCACTGTAACCTGTGTCTAGCTATTGATTTGGAGATGCATTGAAAATATAAAAACAATTCTATGCATAGTTTTGCCAAAGTTTTCCTTTATAGTATTTTTATTCTATTTTTAGGTATCATCAGATCTTCCTCTACAACTGCACAATGATACTTCAATATACATGTAGAACTCTCTGTTTTTTAAATAAAAAGGCAAATGAAAAATTAAAAACTAGGAAATATCTCAAACTTTGGCATTTTTCCTGACAGTTGGGAGTTCTTATATTTTCTAAGAAACAGAGATTAATAGGGAATCACTTGTCATTAAAAACCTTAATTTAAGAAAAACCTGCTTTCAAACGGTTTTGTTTTTGTTTTTTCCTGAAGCAGTGCAACAAATGAATGATTTAAAGAACATGAGAAAGTACTTACAGCGACTCTTTCATGAAGGTTTTGACCAAAAACAAAACGAGATGGTGTTGCCGGTTGAATAGGCGTTGTCTGAACAACAGTAGATGGTGCTGTTGCTAAAGGAACAAAAACGTGTGATGAACCCGAGGAGCTTACTTTACTTTCCTTGTTTTCCTGTGACCCTTTTTCTTTACTCCCACAGTCCTGAAATGATTACATAAATCTCAAAGGTTAAGACTAATAAACAATTTAAAAACAATTTTCTCTGCAAAAATGATTTGCCAAATGGTGAATCAACACTTGTAAGTTTAAGTGATATGGTATTTTGTACTTATATAAATTTTCACAAGATTAGGAAAAGAAAATTCTCACCAGATTTCAGTAGTAGAACTACTTAGAACACTAAAAACTTAAAAAGCATGATAAACTGTACATTAACTTGTTATTCCTGGTCAAATAAAAGAGAATTTCTAGAGACTTTATCCTCTTTGAGGAAGACACATTTAGAATGGTACAAATATTGCAAATTTCCAGTAAGTTTTAGAAATTATGATGTTACTTACACCTGACGAGGAAACTTCAGAGCTAGAGGTAACGTCCACATTTTCTACTAGACCTGTGCCATTAAAACCTAGGAATAAAATGATCAGAATTAATACAGAATATACTAAATATTGTTATAATCATGATTTGCTGACTCTACAGTCCTTCTAAATAAAAATACTCAGAGGGGATTTGTTCCTGTAGTGACATAAAGAAAACCAACCAGGCGAATGCTTGACTCACATAGATCAGATAAAAACAAGTATGACTGAGCTATTGTTGAATGGGGAAAAACCCAGCCCATTAAAAATTCAACAAAACTTCAGTGCTGTAAAGTCTTTTCTGTAATAGCCCACTCCATTCAAAAACTTTGCTATCTTGCACTGCACCTGCACTCAAAAATTATGGGGAAAAGGATGGGAACATCAAACACTGCTGAATATTTTAGAGATTTTGCATATTTATTCCTTGGAAAAAAAAGCTTAAAAAACTTAAAAACATATAGGTAGAACTATCCTTGAGCAAAAAAAGTTACTTGAAGTTCAGCGAAATATATTTATCATCTTGACGGGTGTTGATCTAATAAAAAAAAAAATGAGGAATTGACCTCTGACAGGTAAAGAGGACAATACTGAAAAAATACACGGCTTACTTTTGGCAAATGGGTTCTGCAGTTTTGGTGGGTTTAAGACAAAAGGACTGAGACTTGCTGTAGCCTCTCCAGAAAATGAATTCAGTTTTGGTTTGGCCAGTAAAGATGGTTGTAAAATTGGCTTAGCTGAAAAAAAGGAGACGTCAGAAAGTTTTTAAAGTTTGAAGTTCCGTTTATTGCGTATTTCTATTGGGTATTTGAGAGATAAAATATTCTTATATCTAAGGCAAAGGAGGTATACTTACTTAAAGGAAGCATTCATATGTTGTCAAAAGAAAACAGAAAAATACACCAAAGTAAATAATAAAATAATTCTGATTCACAAAGACAAGCTTTTCTTCAACAGCTATTTTCATTTTAAATCCTGACTTAAAAAAACTGAAATGAATTTACAGCAAAATGTTTAACTAAAACCTGAAGCTGATTAATAATTAATTCTGACAATATTGAATTTTCAAAATTTCAGGACAATTATTGAAAAAAATTGAGATGCAATTATGCATCATAAATTAACTAAATTTAGTGATAAAAGTATTGATAATAGAGCATTTAATTCATAGATGATCCGTTGTTAAGGATTACATACCTGGAGATTTGCCCCAAGGATTTGATGGTTCACCAGAGGTGACAGTTCCATGCGGAGAGGTGACCCTAAATGGTACCGCTGGTCTAATGGTACATTCTGAACCTGAGGGTGAAGATGTATCTTCTTCTCTCTCATCAGATTTGCTCTCAGTTGTTGATTTGTCACTGGATGCTGGAGTGCATTTACCCGAGGCTAGAAAATAAAGGAAGATATTGGTAGTGTCAGAGGAGCCATTATTTTCGTTTCCTGAGATTTGTTAACATCTTCAGGAAATTTGAGTTAATGCTGTTTTGGATATCCAAAAAAAGTAATCTCCTTATACAGTAACACATGAGTACAGATTTTTTAGCCTTCACTAACACCTGTGGAGGGATAAAGAGGTCTCAAAGCTGCAATTACTTTACCACTACACAGAGAAGGTAAAAGTTTAAGTCATTGTCAGAGTGAAAGCAACTGACAAAGAATCAACTTGTGAATCATCTGTGAATCATTAGAAGAATCATAAGTACTGAATTCATTATTTTTTAACTGTTTGACATTCCTTTGGTGTACCTATAGAAAGAGAAATTGTACCTAGTACTCACAATGGAAAATTTTGGTAAAAAGGTCAGACCAATGGAGGAAAATGATAAAATGCCTATCACTTGATACAACAATTTTATAAAGGGAACCAAGGAATCTGACTCCAAGTTGGATTTTGGCAATTTCCCAATGAAAATCAAACTGCTCGCAGAGAAATAGGATAAATATAATTGACTTACTTTAACTTGTACTTGTTGACATTGTTATTGTTTCATAGCATGTAAGTGTTTTAAAGAAGAGAAAGAGCTTTTCTGAGAAGTCTACTACATTTTAGATTCTAAAGAAAGATTCTATTGGATGCAAATACTTGTCTCGAGGGTACATTATCAATTTTTGAAATGGATCTTCCGATATTAGAATGCAAGAGAATCTAATTATTATATTTTATAATTTGTTTCTACACCTCGGATCAGTATTCTTCCAAAGCTCCCTGGCTTATATTTGGTATCAGGGTGGATTTTAACATTGTAATTGCCTTGCACATTAAATAAGGGAGTAGCTGACTTAGAGCTAATATGATAATGAAGACACTCACTGTCATCTGATTTTGGAAATTTAGAGCAAGTGTCTGATGAACTACTTTCATCTTGTGAAACTTCAATGGAAATATCTCCAGACGATGTTGCAACAGCTTCAGGAGTTGAATCCTTGGATGAAGTTGTGCTGTTGGGTTCCTCAGTGGAATTATTTTCTGAAAAAAGAAGGAACATTAGACCAATACGTACTTAGTTGAAGAATAGATTGGAGTAATTAGGGGAATGTGTACAATGGTAGAAAAAATATTGAATGACACTGTTACTAAAATTCTGATGTTTAAGGGTTCCTTTGATTAAACTCAGGCTAGGGCGAATTGCACCCAAGTATGACCCTTTGGACACTTATTGTAGAACAGACCTGCACGATATAGATGGCTGAAGTGCAAAACCACGTATATCTGTTTGCGATGCTGTGGGCCTCCTGGCTAGTTCTTTGGAAAACCTGACTTTATTTCTTAAAAACTTCCTGGCTTTTTTTTCTTACTAGCAGTAAATTTCATAGAAATTTCGAGAAATATAGGTGACTTGTTCTTCCCCAAAAAAATAAGAGCAGAGATTTTCAGGCACTGCAATGGAGATACATGATTTTACGCTTCTGTCATCAAAATTATGGCATCACTATTCTGTGAAATGCCTCACCCTGACACTGACATGAGCAGACAAGCAAGACAGGAGCAGTAACCAGAAATACTGGCCCGTATAAGTTTTGGTATAGTGTGAAGGAAACAAATCGGTACAAAATTATTCTTAATATCGATCAGTCCACCAAGTCTTCTATCGCTATTTCCTGCCTGGCCGCTCCTGTACTCCGCTGTTCAGAACCCGGATGAGAAGGTTTCATAATTCATGGGGAGTCAAAATAGTAAAATTGACGGAGGATTCTTACAACCTGTTAGTGCTTGGAGGGAGGGGTTAGGTGTTAATGATCTGAACGCTACATACACCAGAGGTGAATCTAACCTATAAAAAATAGACAATGACATTAAATAACTTGCCTGATACGACTATGATTAGAAACGAGCACCAATGTGCTTCAAAAATTAGATTACAGATTTGCAAGATAGTAAAGAAAAACCTCTGGTGCTTGTTAAAAATAAGTAAATAAATAAAAAACCATAAACATAACCTAAAAATTAGCATACAGAATAGCATGAGTTGTATGAATACAAGTTGAATATTTCAGTAGTTGCAAAAAAATTGACGAAAAGTGTTTCTTGACTAAAGGCAGGAGAGCTTCAGGAGCTTCCAGTAAAATACTTGCGGTAGAGAGTGCAAAATTAAATATATTCGGACAACCTTCAGTTGACTACATACAACAAAGCAGAGGTGCTGAAATGCTAGATTTGGATTTATCAGAAATGGTGCCGCAGAAAAATGCTGCTAAGGAAATAACCACAGAATATTGGTTGTTTCTATGCTTAGGAATAATATCAATTCTTTTTGATTGGGACACTTAGAGGAGCGAGCAAGATGCAAGAGTAAGGCTGCATTCGCTGAATCAATGGCGATACAAATGGTCAAAAATACTGCTATTTTGAATAAAATATTGGAGTATCTTACCTTGCAATTTAGACATAACTACCACCTTAGAAAATAATTGAATACAAGTTAAAATTTAGTCACTTAAAAGATAAGAAATTGAAGCAGATATCAAAACTCAGAGGTCCACAATGAGGTGGATTTTTCCGAAATCTGTCAATAAATATTCCTCCCCTTCCCGACGTTGTCTGCTTGTGCTTGCGTGTTGCCAAATTGATCAGCGTCGTCTTCTTGGTCTACTTTGTTCCTTCATATAATTTTTATATTGTCATATTGTACGGCCCCTCCCTAAAACATGTTTTTTTACACAAAAAGAAGTTTTATCAAGCGTAGAGATCTAGAGATCTTGAGAGTTTTTGCTTCTGCTTTTTCCAATGTGTTCAACTGAAATTTGGCAACTGCTAAATATTATGTAAACAAAGCAAGGCATTTTAGGTTATGTTTTTGACGTTACTTCGGTTGTGTGTTTCAATTCATGGGAAGATGTACAAAAAGTTTTCCTATTATTTTGATTTTTACAATTACTTGTGAAATTTATGATTTCTAATGGCAGAATTCATAGCAGAAAATAATGCATGCGGACAATGCATTTTAAATTTAGTCGCTCGAGGGAATGCCATCGTTGCTGAAATATTGCGTTTAAAAAATTATATACCACCAATCTTCAGGTGAATATTTATCACTCTTTTCTTGTTTCAGGATAATTATTTGTACATTCCTAGTTTCAAATCTGGAAAGAAAATTGAATATTCAATCATTCCCAAATCTCTCTGCAAATTAAAATTCCTCGTACCGATGGCACAAGTGCGATAAATTACACTTTTCATATTGGCAGGACAAATACCTGGAGCCTGAAAGGACTGTGTCCTGCCAGCTTGTTTTTTATAAAATTCAGAATTATCTAACTACTCAGTAAGCTGTGATGTCCTTTGCTGAATATCTCAAATCATTACTTACAGCTCTGCCAAACCAATTGAGAATAATTTGCGATGTTTTCTTACATTATTTACCTTATATTAGTGGAGTAAATTTGATTTTGATTTTTAACTTTCAGGCTGACAACTAAGCATGATCAGCAAAAGTACAGAGATCTTATCATCGATTTTAGTTATTTCAAAATCTCTGAAGCAATTGAAAAGAAAATTGAAAATGATCCGGTAAGTTATTGTGTTTTTATGAGTATTTAAATTCCCCATGGTTTCTCAAAGAAAGCAGCCATAGCTAGAATTTTAATTCTGTTATGCAACTGAATTGCTAAAAGACTAAATTGAGATTTTAAATGAAGAATTACTTGAATCTCAAAACAAGTGTTCTTGAAAAAAAATTGTTGGGAGCATGTGAGCTGGGGTTTGTGCATGGCATGACGAAAACAGTGAGGTGGAAAAGAAATTTTTTGGATGAAAAACGTCTCTCATTTTTTTGCAAAACACTAGAAAAAAAATAAAAACTAGCTCACCCAGTAACGTTAATGTTCACATGTAGGCAGTGAGGAAACTTTGAGGCTGAGATTGTGACTAATTTTTTCTCATACCTCTCTACATCGGTGTACTGAGGTCCGACCTGTGACATCTGTTACCTGCATTCATTTTATTAATAAAATATTTGGATATTTTATAGCTTTGTCATTTTTTCTGTGTTCGTGTTGGAAAATTTATCCATTGATTTTTTTTCACAGGCTCTGCAAGATTTAGATGAAGAACTAAGGGACAATTATGGAGGCATTTTGAACCGATTTTACCTTGCCTTTGAAAGTGTTCACAAGCATATTATAGAACTAAACCAGTTTGTGGAGGACCTTGAAGAAGGTGTCTTCTTTCAAAACTCTTTGGAGTCAATTTTCCTAAATCTTGAAGGATGTCAATTGATGGTATGCTGCTCATTATGTACTTATGATCATTTCTTTCTCAAGGATAGCCTTACGAAATTTTAAAGAATTGTGAATCAGTTGCAGAGGGATTTAAGTATTTTACTGCCTGATTTAGCCTGAAGCCTGTTACATGTAACCATTTATTTGAAAGATTGACTTAAAATTCCACAAATATATATTATGAAAGCACCACTCTATATGGACAGTGAAACAACCGGACTTGTATCTCAGTTTGCGACGTTGCAGACTTCCTGCCATACTTTATTTTTTAAATGAAAAACCATTCAAAGTCAACTCTTGAAAACTACGGTGTATTTTCTTGGATGTGCGAAGAAAATACTGTGAAACTTTTAAGAAAAGATGATGATGATTTGTCCTTTTTCAAGAAAATAAAATGGGAGCTGAGATTTTTAAACCCTGCAAACAAGATATGTGGTCTAGTAGTTTCACTGTTGATATCTGTCCTGGATTATGCACAGAAATGAGCAATGTTTTCATTCAAAAAAACTAATTAAAATGCAATTCATGTCAAGTTTTGTTGCAGGAGTATGATATGTTTTTGCATTATTTTCAGTGAAGTAAGTGATCTGTCATAAAGAATTCAGATTTATTTTTCAAAACTTATGTTTTAATCAAGCAAGTGTTTTCAGAATACCAGCATAAATGGACTTTTTTGGCTTATCTTGGTGTTTAAGAATGGTTAACACTTAAATAGACATATACTCAATAAATGTGACCTTCTTGTTTTCCTCTCTGAATTTTTTATTTTTCTATATCTTTTCTTTGTCTGTAGTCCGAAGCTCTTTACCTCTATGGAGTAATGCTGTTAGAAATAGATCGACACATAGATGGCCTTATTCGCGAACGTCTATTAGTTGCTCATTATCGATATAGTGCTCAACAATCAAGTGCTTCAAGTAACATTGATGATATCTGTAAATTATTTCGTTCTACAACCATTAACTCAAGACAACCACCCAATTATCCTGAGGATTACTTTAGGTATGTATAAACAATGAATTTATTTCTTCCGCTTAATTAATTTGTGAATTGCCTTTCAACTAAAAAGAGTGAATAAATTTGAAGTATTTTTTGAATTACAATATAGGAAGAAGAAATAAAAAAAAAGGTTGAGCTCTTTACATTTCAATATTTTGCTGTTTTGTCTGTTGCATGCATATTTTTGATGTTTCAGATTCTAGTCCTTACTGAAAAAAAGTGAACTTTAATTCTTATTAACTCGTCTAATAAAGGGTGTCATCTAAAATGCTATCATAAAATTGCTCAAGAAAAGTTACTCTTGATGGAAGACTAGTTCTAACAAAAATGATGAATGGGTTGATCTGTCTTGATTTTAATTCTTTAGATTTTTCAAGGAGCTCCTATCTCATTTTTTCTAGAGCTTTATGTTCATTAAATTTTTTAGGAGCTTTTAATAATATCTGTAGTAATATTTCCGTTTGAAGTAAGCGGCAGCGTTAAGGAATGCTAATATTCTCATTTACTTAGTTATTATCAAATATTTGTATATTTCAATTCTTGAAATTTTAAGTCCTTCAAAATTAAGTTAAACCAATGACTAACAAAAGTATAAGTAAGTACTTTCTATCCTATACATACTTACATGAAAACATAGTTAAAGCTTTTTATGAGGCACTAAAATTTCTGTTTTGCTAACATTGCATTGTGATGCATTTTTTAACCATCAAAATTTTTGTACCAGTGACTTTTGTTCACCATTGCTGATACTTGAAACCTTTTTAACATCAATATGTGATCGTAGTTTGACTGCAGTTATATTTTTACCTACTAGTAGAGGAATTTGACTTGCCTCACCCAGTCACTCATGGTTTTTCACTTTTCTTGTCTTACTCTACAGACGCATTCCCATAAATGAAAATCTTGTGTCAATGGTCATTGGAAGGCTACGATCCGATGACATTTACAATCAGATATCTGCCTATCCATTTCCAGAACACCGTGTTGTTGCCTTAGCTCCACAAGCTGCCATGCTATATGTATGCTTGTTTTTTGACGCCTCTGTTTTGCACAACCAGACCGCAAAAATGAGGGAAATTGTCGATAAGTATTTTCCAGATAATTGGGTAAGTATATTTCATACTTTATTTTTGCTGAACTGGTGGATGTAAAGTTCTGGAGAGTTTGATCTGAATGTGCTTTCAGCAGTGAAGGAATGAAATACTGCATGTACTTACATCATGACAAATTTAAACTCTTTTTTGACAGATACTTTGATCTTTATACATATTCCAGAAATCATTAGTTGTAATTATATGCAATTATTGCTTCCACCTGTTTCATCATACTGATAATCAAGATCACCTAACTTCCTTCTCAGTCTTATTCATGATCTGATCAGTTGAAACTACTTTTTAAAATTTTTTTTCAACCTACCTGACACTCCTTTGCAGTCCCTTTGCTTATGTCAGCAGGTACATACCTGCAGTTTTTCCCCCTGCTCCCTTTGGCTAGTCACTAAGCATTTGCAAGCTTGTGAAAACAACGTAATATCTCAATTGCACCTTCAAAGTCTGCCAAAACTCAGAAATTTTCTCAAATCATCAAACTATTAAGAAAACTATCTAATTTTCTAAAATATTTTTTGAACAGCAGTTTGCTGACACTTTCTAGAATTTTCCTTGAGTAAACCATTAAGAATAAGTGGGTTGTAGAGCAAATGAGTAGGGTCCACTGGAAAAACTCTGTAGTTATTCATTCTCATTCCCGTGAAATAGTTTAGAGCATGAATGAAATTTTATTGATTTTAAGAAACTCTTGGTTTGCTTGCAAAAAACTCTTCTGAAAAACTTCTGCTGAACATTGTTAATCCATTTATTCTCTCTCTTTTTCATTTCTTATTCTTTGAGTTTTGATATTTATTTATTTTTCTCTCAGGTGGTAAACATATACCTGGGATTCACGGTGAATCTCATAGATTCATGGGACCCCTTCAAAGCTGCTAAAACAGCTCTCTGTAATACTTTGGAAACTTCCAATGTTAGACAGCAAACCTCTCATCATGCGGGCAAAATTCAGGTAATTTTTAAGTAACTTCAGCGATGAATGTATTAGTTGAGCGACCTATTGGACCCTGTTAGATGCTCATGTATAAGGCCTCTAGGAATGGCTGTTTTTTAGACAGAACTCCGAATAATGTTCCTGCATCAGTTGGCATGATTTCCTCTCTTGGATGAACTATGGCAAAGAACAAGGCACAAAATAACAAGAGATTTAGTTGCGGCTGATTTTGGATATTATTAAGTACGATGCTCTTGACAACCCTCTGAAGATCCGCCATATAAGATGTCTTAGATGGAAGCTTTGCGCAAGTTTTCGCAATGTTTCACGATTGCCTTTCGAAAACTCTTTATTTTTGAAAATACTGGTTCGAAAATTCACTATCTGCGATGGCGCAAATATTCGCAATTTTGCAAATAGTGCGCGAGTCAGAATAAGAGTATATACGCATAGTCCTATGTACTAATCATGGCGAATAATAGAAGGAGCAAGCAAAATAAGGCAATCTCAGATTAATTGGATCAGGGATTTCTTCTCTTGGATCCATGAATACTGATTCAGAATATTGAATTGATTATGAACAATATTAAGTTGCTTTCAGTGAAAAGAATTACACCGAAATGAAGGAGGAAACCTAAAAATAGAAGTGTGCTGATGCGAAAGGGTTTTAATTGCTGATGTCCTGTACGTCTTGGACAACACTCATCATAGGTAGCCTAAGCAGTTTTCTTTTTCTATATTTTGCAGAAACTCATGGAAAAAACAAAGCAACTTTTACGAGAGAAGGCTCTGACGGAAGAGAGTGTATTAGGAAATACAACTAAAATTATGAATCTGGCTCGAGAATGTAATGTCACCCTTCGATGGTTGATTTTACATACCACTCCCCCTGCCTCTGGTATGTTTATTTATTTATTTGTTGTCCTAAGTATTCTCCCCTTTTCAATAACACACTTAAATTGGTGATTTTAATTTCTCCTGATCGATTCATCTGTACATATCATCATTCATCTGACTGTGGTGTGAATTTAAAATTTGTTGAAACTGCAAGTCAGATGCTCAAAAGTTACTGTGTTTATGTACATGCATTTAAAAATGAAGAAATGAGATGAGCTACTGCTAAATAAAGTGGAATTGAATGTACCAGGAATTTTTGAACAAATTTTCTCTTTGTGAAAACGTTGATTATCAAATCATCTAAATCTTTAAGATTAATTGTGACCTCTTTCAGACTAGACCATCCTAGATTTAACCTATAATTTATGTGTTATTACTGTTATTGTTTCATGAGCTTGGATTTTATCTTGGCTCGGGAATGATTTCTTCTCTTTTAATTTATGCACAAAAAAAAGAAAAAGAAAGAAAAAAAAAAACCAACTTTTGAGCAAGGGATTATTTATACAGTTCTATGAATTGGATGCTCTGAATTGTTATTCTTTTCCAGATTGCTGCAAGAGAACTAAACAAGTTTACGATCAGATTTTGGGTGACATGAAGAAAGCCCCTGAGTCAACATTAGCTCTAATGTTAAATGCAGCAGAATTTGAATTTAGACTGAAGGAACTCTTCAAGACGGTATAGTTGCATTTTTGCATTATGAACTGGAGACATATCTCAATGAGTTTTTGAAAATTCTTGTAATTAGCCGCAAGAAAAAACGAATCCAGTCGTATCTCATTATAAAGTTTCTCGAAATGAAGTTTTTTTCCCCCGATGCAACGTTCTTTTTTTAATTCCACTTCTAAAACGTTATGTAATGAGATAAGACTGCATGAGAATTTATATTGTTCTTTAAACATGACATCTGACTATGCGCATCAACACAACATCATCTCAATCCTCAAATCTACCTATTTTAACTTTCAATTTCTAACCTTGATCGAAAACTTTACAGGGTAAAGGAGACTTGTTTCGATTGTCAAATTTTCAATGTCTTATTTGTTTCAGATGTTAGCAGAAAAACGTAAAAATTGGGAGTATCATCAAAAAAATAGTGCAGAGCAGCTTATGGACTTGTCTCTTGTCTTCGCTGGGGAAAAATCTTTATTAAAAGTTGAAAAAAACGGTACATGTTCAGTTACTTTTCATCTCATAACCCAATACATATTTTCTTTTTAGACAGCAGATAAGAAACTCAAAGAGAATGAATTGCAGTTTCATAGATAAATAATACTTTTTTCTCCCTTTTTTTCCCATGAAATGTCTATATTCTATTATTATTTTTTTTTTTCATATGAAAGGAGTATCTTCCTGCTCTTCTAGATTCTTATTCTTTTAGATAATCTTCATTATATAGTTTCATTTTGTTTCTAAGTATCTCTGTAAAAATTTCATCTAAGACATGTAGATAGATGCAAGGCATTTACTTCTTGTGATAGTTACTGTATTTTTAAATACAATTTCTTTCTCTCTTTTTTTATATATTGATATACTTTATAATAACATTGTAATTTATTTTGGTTTCTTTGCTTCTTGTTTTCAGCAAATCTGCATGAATGGTTCCAGAAAATGGCAAAAGAGATTGAAACTCTAAATGTTGATGAAATTTCTGTTTCTAGTCGCAAGATGGTGCAGATTGTTCAAGCCTTAGATGAGGTCAAAGGTGATTAATTTACTTTCATTTTATTCTTCATGCACTGATTCGGAGGAGAAAGTGACACAAATTAGTGATAGGCAACAATTATTTATTGTATAGAACTCAATGATTTATGAAGGGTCTTCAAGCTCTGTCAGTGGGTTTGCTTATTAGGAGCTCAAAATTTCTTTAAGTTTGTTTGGTCACTTTTTGAGATTGATTCACGAAGTTCAAGATTTTGAAACTGATTTCATGAGCCATTGCAAGGAATAAATGGCACTTAGACTCATGAAAATTTGAGATTAGAAAAATAGGTATCTAACGTCTTTGATGTCTGTATGAATCGCTCCCACAGTCACCTTTCTTTACAGGACGCCCTCATTGCTGTTGCCATAACTGGAATGCTGTTTATTAAACATGCAGATCTGTTTCCTATCAAAGAAAAAACTTGACAGACTGTTTCGAAAGTGAAATCAAACCCGCCTTGAATTCCCAAAAATGTCATCTAATAAGTATTGGTTTGTAATACAGTAATGCTTGATAAGGACACTGTTGCAAACCAATCAACTTCCCCCCTCCACCTTTTATAAAAAACTAAAGTTACGAAAGCTCACCATGATGATTTACATTTTCCCTCAATAATTAAGTTTGTTTTCCTCTTTAATTTGTTTTACCTTGAAATTCTCCTTTTATTTTCAGAATTTCACCAGTTATCAACTAATATGCAGATCTGTCAAAATTTGAAAGAAGCTAAAGAGAGTCTCACATCAATGATACGCAGTGAAGGAATGAAAGAAAGTTTGTTGATAACCTTGCAGATTGTATCTGATTTTAGTTATGCTTGGCAGTTAGTGGATGCCTACACACCTTATATGCAAGACCAGATTAAGGAAAATCCAGCCATTGTTGTTAAATTGAAAGCCATTTTCCTCAAAGTAAGCATTTTAGCAAACCCACATTCACTTTTTCCCCTGGAAATTTCGAAGTCATTTGTCCTCTTGCAACATTTTGCAGTTTGAAAATTTACATCGTATAGAAAACTTCCAAATCCCCAGATTATTAAACAAGCTTGATGATTAATTGTACATTTTCAGCTTTCTTTGAAAAAAAGAGGAAGACAAAACTACGCAAGACAATATAAAACTTAAATAAAATAACCAAAATATCAACAGTTTTTCTACTAGCTGAATTACATCCTTGAATTACCAGACTAAGTGTTTAGCATTTTAAAGTCTTTTAAGTAAATGTGTGGTTTTAATCAATGTTTCAAGATTTCAAATCCATGCGCCTTTAAGACTTCAAGTCTATGCCCCTTTAAGATTTCAAATCTATGCGCCTTATTGGATTTCATCAAGTTAAATTTTGGAGCTTCTGATGCTTATTTTTGAATCCTATTCAGAATCTTTGTTGGTTCTTCTCTATCTTTTGCAGTCTTGATACTGGTAAAGCTACAAAAACGACTAAAATATGAAGACAAAACCATGAAATCTTCCATATTTTTCTCTTTGATCTATCTTGTATTATTTTGGACCTTTTCTTTCTCTCTCTGTTTAGCTTTCAACAGCACTTGAAACTGTTGTTCTTCGAATTAATCAAGCTGGAAGTGATGACCTAATTTCAGTCAGTCAATATTATTCTCAAGAATTGGTTAGTTACATGCGACGAGTACTACAAATCATTCCACAAACCATGTTCTCTCTAATGACCAGAATAATAGGGTTACAAACAAATGTTATTGAAGAGCTGCCAACTCGCCTTGAAAAAGAAAAATTGAGAGAATACGCCAAGATTGATTCCAGATTTGAGGTGAGTTCTGATTCATCCCTGTTTCAAACTCAATTTTTATTTTATTTTGATGATGTAGAGAAGCAGAAAACGAAGTATCGTAGGGCACATTACTGATCAGGAAACATTTTGAAAGCTACATATGGCATTTCTTCCCAATTTCCTCAATTCAAATTTGTTTTCAGTTCTCGGTAATAGACTTTATTTAAAGAATTCTTTGGTAAAGAGGTACAGCTGAGAAAAATCGTCGTTTTGAAAAGAAAGGAAGAAGAAAATACTCACTTTGAATTTGAAAAAAACTTTTCTGCTCAGGAGTGATTGATCTATTTTCTGAGAAGGATCTCATATTGGCATATTAAACTTAAAAAATGGATGTGCAAATTGCACTCTTTACACATGCCGGGTTGTTCTGCTGTCAAGCTTTTTTGAAGACTTGTTATGCACCGCCCTTATCGCTATCATCTTTTATGTACCTGATCTTCTCTGTTTTTTTTTGTTACTTGTACTTTTGCTTCTCTTCTTTTGCAATTTTTAAGTAATAAATTTTGACCTGTATTAGGGCTGTCTCGACAACCGATTATTAGGGCCCAAAAATGACATCCTATTTGATGTCATGACGAAACAGCTCGTCTGGGATCATGTTAACAGGATGATGGAAGAGAGGCTGCCGAAGAAGATACTTGATCGGGTTTCTCCCGGGAGAAGACAAAGGGACGCCCAGTGAAAGGGTGGCGACGGGGGGTATAGAGGAAAGGGGGGGGGGAGTGCCAACTTCCTGAAAGGCTTTGGGAGGACAGGGGCCTTTGGCGGCTGGGTGTTGCAAAACGCCAAAGAGCGCTATGAAAGCAGCATTTATGTTATTAGGGCCGTTTTAAGGCTACTGCGGGCTGAAAGTAAGTCTTGCATGCCTCATGCCATCAACTTTTTCTTCTTTTCATTTCTTACTATATTTTCTGCAGGTTGCCAACTTGACTCACTCCATAGCAGTATTTTCTGAGGGTATATTATCCATGCAGAGCACTTCATTGGGTGTTGTTCAAATAGATCCACCTCAACTATTGGAAGAAGGAATACGCAAAGAATTAGTTCATAATATTGCACATGCCTTGCATACTGGCATTATTTTCTCTCCCAAATCAAAGGTAATGAAAGTCAATTCATTAATGAAAAATATGTTGATAAAATATATGAGTATTTCTGCAGTTTTTCTCCTCTCATTGAAATTTGTCTCTCATCATCGGGTAACTACGAGGGTCATCCAAAAAGTAAGGTTCCCTACCTTGTATCTTTCGAACGAAAAGAGATAAATCAAATCGGTAAAAACGTACATATTAGGCATACTCTAAGCTTTAAAACAAGCTCAAGTTTTTGAAAATCAGTTGAGGACTTCGCGAGGAAACTCAATTTTACTGAAACGACCTCTTGTCGTGGCGTGCCCACCTCCGAGGTCAGGATGCGCCGAGAGTCCCTTACTTCAGACTCGGCTTATCGCCTCTAAACATCAAATCGAAAAGGAATTTAAAAGATTTTATCAAGTAGGCCTTACCTTGCTTTTTGAGATAGTCTCCGAATCTTTTTTGACATTTCTGGTATCATTACGGCAGCTCTTTCATGCCTTCAGCGTAAAAGGTCTCGTCTTGGCTCCAAAACCAGTCATTGCCAGCGATCTGCACTTCCAAATCAGTTGCTTACCGTGGTAAAATTTTTCCCCAATCCTCCGTACTCTCTTAATTTAGCCTCAGGTGACTTTCGTCTATTCCTGAGATGAAAAACTCCCACTGTGGAAAGCGATTTCCAACCGATTTAGAGGTGCAGATCGCTAACAATGACTGGTTTTGGAGCCAAGACGAGACCTTTTACGCGGAAGGCATGAAAGAGCTGCCGTAATGATACCAGAAATGTCAAAAAAGATTCGGAGACTATCTCAAAAAGTAAGGTAAGGCCTACTTGATAAAATCTTTTAATTTCCTTTTCGTTTTGATGTTTAGAGGCGATAAGCCGAGTCTGAAGTAAGGGACTCTCGGCGCATCCTGACCTCGGAGGTGGGCACGCGACGACGGGAGGTCGTTTCAGTAAAATTGAGTTTCCTCGCGAAGTCCTCAACCGATTTTCAAAAACTTGAGCTTGTTTTAAAGCTTAGAGTATGCCTAATATGTACGTTTTTACCGATTTGATTTATCTCTTTTCGTTCGGAAGATACAAGGTAGGGAACCTTACTTTTTGGATGACCCTTGTAGGTGAGGCTCAGAAGCAACAACCTCTAATTTTGATGCAATTTGATGCAGAAAATGATTCAAATATTGTTGATGGATTGGTGTTTTCAGATTTTTTGAGTGGGTTTTGAACTCCTCCCCCCCTCCCTAAATTTTTATTAGTTTTTTAAAACACCATCCGGAGTATTATTAGTGATTATTAATCAAAAGTGGAACTAGTGGCGCACTAGTACAGTGCTGCCGTACAGCTATGATGATTAGGAGTTTAATATTTTTCCTAACCAGATTTTTTGCTCCTAGTACATTTTTTTTTTTTTTTTTTTTTTTTAAGGTTCCAGATTTTCTGACGTTCAATCTATTTGTCATTATAAATGGTGATAGTAATTGTTGAAAGTCTTCTACTTACAATTCTATGTATTTTTTTTTTCCAGGCGGAAGAGCTAATTAAAAAACTTGAAGCGCTCGGAGATATTATGGATGGCTATAGGCGCTCCTTCGAATACATTCAAGACTACATTGGAATGTTTGGTTTAAAAATTTGGCAAGAAGAGCTTAGCAGAGTTATCAGTTACAATGTAGAACAAGAGACTAACAGTTTCATCCGAAATAAGGTAGCTGAGTGGCAGAGTGTTCATCAGAGCAAAGCAGTTCCTATCCCTTCCTTCCCACCGACAGATTCTGTATCTGTTACTTTTATTGGCCGCCTTGCAAGTCAATTGATCCATATAACAGATCCCAAGTAAGTGTCCCGCAATGATTGTTCCTTTTCTTTTAGTAGCTTTCAAGTAAGTGCAGAATATTTCATGTAAGCCACTCTGAAACCTTAAATTATATCCAATTGAGCATTGGTATTATTTTTTTGCCTTAAAACAATGAAACATAAAAAAAAAATTAAAAAAAAAAAAAAAAAAAAAAAAAAAAAAAAAAAAAAAAAAAAAAATAATAGGCAATGACTGATGTAGTTAGAATAATTCTGGTCTATGCTGTTCATTCATAATGAAAGCCCTTAAAAAAACGAACTTTAAAAACAACAAAAAATTAGAGGGGGCCCTATCTGCTCTATGGCAAGGAAGCCAAACTCTAGAATCAGATGAAACAAAGAAACAAAAAACTCAGGTACCTGGCCCTTGCATAGCAGATTCAGTGCGGGTGCTTATTACACATTATGTTTTACCTACCGAATAAACCTGATACCAACTCAATTCAATAATTTATAACTGTGTGGCAAGATAAGTTTTGGAAAATTTTGGATTTAATCTTATTTTTCGGAAACAATTCATCTTAGAAGAGCTCCAAATTTTATCATAGTTTGTTTAATTGCAATTAAATAAACAGCAGATGTCTACTCAACATTTAATCTCCATTAAGTTCTATTGGAATAATTGCAATTTCTGTTTATTCTATTCATGTCATTATTCTATTCATGTCATTCTAGAGCCTACTTAAGTATTGTTTTTTATATTATTTTTCCTTTTTTTATCAGAACAACTATTTACATGGAAAATTCAACTGCCTGGTATGATCATAAAACGCAGAAAGAAGTCATAAATATTAAGTTTTTCTCTCAAATTACGAAGTCTGTTGGTGTGTCTGGTGTTGCTGGCCTCGACAAACTCATTGGCTTTATGATCGTCAAAACTTTACAGGTACTGAATTTGTCACACCATGTACATAAAATTTCTATTGACATCAATCAATTTTAAGATTAAACAATTTGATTTTAATGTTTGAAAATAAACTTGAAGTATGAATGAAAAAAACACTAAGAAGTGGCCAGAACTGTATGTAACAAGGTGGAGAAATGGTGCTGGGTCCACACCATTTCGCGGGGAATTATAGTATGATTTGCATTGTTCTTTGGATATCTTTCTACTTCAAGATTCAGCAAATTTTGACTTTAGCGGTTATGCCCTGAGTTTGGAAATGGCAGACTCTCTATCAGCTCCAAGTATGGTATCCAAATCATATAGACCCTCTGTAAAAATGTAAAGACCATTGTCATGATGAAAAGTGTGAGGCATATCTTCCGTGTAAAGTCTAACTAACATTTAAACCTCAAAATGAATATGCCTCAATTAAAAGCTGGGTATGTACTTAGTTTTTAGTCATCATTATATTTAATTTCATTCCTATTTTTTTTCAGAGTTTCTTAAATGACATTCAGAAAGGAATCCTAAAAGATAAAGCAAATGTAGATTTGCTCATTTCTATATCCAAAGGACTTTCTCCAAACTCCAAAATCATAGGTAAGAATTTACAGATTTAGCAACTGTAACTTCATTTGTGTTTCACTTATTTCTATCACACATCGACTTTCACTGCTAATCAACTATGTATGTTTTACTGTTTAATTTAATTTTAACCGCACATTAAATAAAAAAATCTCTCAAGTTACAAGGAAGATACTTATGTACATTTCTTACATTTTTTAGAAAGACTGTCATAGAAAAATTAGAAAAAAACAAGTCTCCTTTTATTCTCCAAACTATTTTTAAAGTGCCTATGCTTATTTTTATCTCTATTTATGTTTACCATGTTTATGTTTCCATTGTGTGTTAGTGCTTTAAGGTCAATTTAAGTAAATTCTTGTTGACCATTTCTTTTGTATCCTTATTATTTTAGATGGTGGAAGCAAATATTACATGATATACATTTCAAGAGCCCAGAAACTTTGGTCTCAAATTCTTGAATGGGTAATCAAAGTGGGGCAGCTCCAGCTACTGAGGAAGCATATCTTTTATGAATTAAAAATATCCTGCAAATTTGAGTCGAAGCATTTGTCTTCTGCCTTAGCAACTCTAAATGAGTAAGTAATGATATTTATCCTATTAATAGTTGGATAATGTTCGCTTTAAACTTCTTTTATAACTGAATAAATAAAAGAGTTCAAAAATATCTCAGACTGAAATATTGTCTATCAAATTGATTTGCCGCAATGCACTTTTATCCGAGAATAATTGATGGAGTTGCATACTGCAATTCACAAAATTATGAAATTTGTAATTTTCGTACCTGATCATGAAAGGTGTTTGAAAAAATGTGAACTCTTCCTCCAGATCGTTTAAAAATCTAGTCTATGAAAGTGAAATTTGTAAAACGTTTGTCTCCCTCAGATTCTTAGCTTTAAGTTTGATGAGTATTGATTGATTCATTGCTACATCTGATGAATATATTATTTAGCTACTCAATGAGTGTATTCTTTGATACTGAGTTTACCAAAGAAAACAGAAAAGTGAACTTTAAAAGGTATTCTGTGAATGGAAGTTGTATAAAAATTTAATGGCATTAAATTCCATCAAAATAGTACATCTAGTTTTGATAACCACATAGTATTCTGTAGGATGTAATTACTCTCAAACGACAATGGAAGATTTGAAGATCCTTTTTTCCCTTTTTCGAATGTTCCAATTTTCACTGGAGAAAGAAAATTATTCCTCAGAATCTATTTTACTTATCTATTACTTATTTTATCATCAAATTTAATTTTATAGCACTAACAATGAATTTTTCTCTTTTAAATCTCTATAAACAGAGCTGTCATCAATGAAGTTAAAGCACAATACAAAGATCCAAAATCAGACCCCTATCAACAAAAAGAGTCATCCTTATTGTATGAGTTGTCAACTTACCTGGATTGGGCTGGTATCGGAAATCCTTTTGCAAAAATATATGTCACTACTAAGAATGTTCCGTATTTCTCACTCCTGATGTTCCTGTTCCTTGCATCCCAAGTGCCTAAAATTACTTTTGTTAAAAATGTTGGTAAGTTATCCTTTTTGCAACTTGTTTATTAGTTGTCATTCCTTACAATTTCACTCTATAACTTAAATATTTTCAAATTAATGACTTACTCATTCATTTATCTACATTACATTCTGTTTCATATTTAAAGATGTGATACATTTTAGTTGTGTAGAGTTTTTTAAAGATCTCCAATAACATCTTCTTTCAATGTAAATATAAGTAATTTGTTTGTTGTGCAGCTTTCTTTTAAATTTGATTGTTATTTCACACAGTTCTGTCACAAAACTATAGAGGCTGTGGCTCTTCTCAGCAAAAAAGTAGTTCGGTCTAAATTTTTATTTATGATTTTTCAAAATTCAGTTCATGTTTGGGTCACAGGATTTCTACTTGATTAATGGCTACTCTATTATGTATTTCAAAATCATGAGTACTCAAGAATTGCCCCTTCCCAGTTGAATTTAACTATTAACAAGTTTAATAAAGAAGAAATGAAGGGTTGGGTCCAGAAAGGGCATTTCATGGTTGCGGTGTCTCAGGATCTGCGTACTTGTTTCATCCACAATAATTGAAGCAAATACAGGGAGTTTGTTAAAACTTTCACTGAATTTTCTTTATGATTCTAAAATGCTGAAAACTAAAAATTTCAGAAAATCCACTCAATAGTTTCCTCTCTAAAATATAAATTAGTAGTGGAGATTCTGAAACACGGCAACCAAGAAATGCGGCTTTCTGCACCTCACACCTCAGATAATCAGTTTTTTTATTGAAAACTCCTCCATGGTAAAATGCATACTAGAGAAGTAATTTTGAATTTTCTCTGCATTTATAGATGAGTCCACTAACCAATGTTTTATCGGTGTTATTTCTGAGCCATCTCTCTAGTTTTATTTTGTTGTTCACAGGTCCATTAGTGTTGAAAAAAACTGGAGAGCCCTTGGATAGTGTTCCCTTAGTCATTGGTTTTGCGACAATTTTCCGACAGTTTCATCCAGAGGTCAGGTCGCAGTTTCTATTGTACTGTTCACAGTATATAAAGTCTGTTTTGGATTCAGTTCTCTCAGTACAATCAAAGACAGATTTGCCTCCTGAATTATCAAGTTTTCTTAGTTTTCTTGAAAGTTTCATGGACTATTCGGGGCTACCGCAAAGCACTCTTGCAGAACATATTCCTGAAATTATTCTTAATCTGTACCACTCTACACAGAGTTAGCTTCCTGTATTTACCTCGTGTACCCAGGTATTGGTAAGAGCTTTGTCTCTGTTCATTAGTTCTTATGATCCCCCTTAAAATAGACGTATCTCTATGTACGGATGCATGTCTTAATGGCATGGCGAATAACTGAGAAAATCAGTGACTTGAAAGGAGAGAAACAATTCAGTGTCTCAGCATACCAAACTTCTTGGTAGATATTTATTTTTTTAACAGTTATTTTACTCCAAGTCATGTAACAGAACTCTGAAGTTTTATCCATCAGGCAAGTTCAACGTAAGCCTTTTTTTCTGCAAAAGAAAAAGAAAACCTGAAGACCCTTACCATTAAAACAAATTTTTAATCAAGGGCAACACTTAGAGAGGTCCCTGAACCTCTTTTTCTTTACTTTTTTTTTTTTTATATATATAGAGTTAAGTGACTTTTCTTTGTGAAGTACTTCATGAAAGCTCTGCACTTATTTCGATGGAAAAATGCTAGTTTGAATGATGTCTTTGAAGCTATATCAAAACACTTTAGTACCAGCAAATGAAGGCTCAAATCTTGTCGAAAGATGAGTATTAAAAACATGAAAAGTAAATGAAACTGCCTTTTCCAATTGCGGGTGTAGAAAAGTCCAATTTGCAAATAGGGATTTGAAGCCAAAAGATGTATTTCAAGGAACAACAAATGTTTGTTTATAAGTGCCTTATCTTGTATGAACTTAGGCTAATAATTGTTGAGTTGTTATTATTTGCGAATAAATTGATCTTAGCTAAATCAAGATTCAAAAGTTAGCAATATACGAAAACCATTCCAGTTTATAACCAGCCTTGTTTGCTTTATGATCTAACTCCTCTGTTACTTTTTATTTTTATTTGATTAGTCATTTTTTTTACATTGTAGAAGAGAATAGCTTGTTTAACCTCAGGCAATTTTTTCTATGTTTTTAATTACATACTTAAAAGCAGATTAGAACTCATTGAAGTGTTGCTTTAGACTCAAGCATTGCATCCATCATTCAGTTTTCATTTAGTATATTATAAAAATGTGAGTGAGCCCTTGAGACTTGGAAAATCAAAGCTCAGTGATTTGAACTTAAGGTGATTCGATGGACGCCATATTTTGTGTCAGAACGACATGTGATGTATCGCATCAATTAGTTCCATTTTCTCGGCTACTTGTCATTTTTTTCGAATTTTGAGATCGCAATTCTGTTGTCAGGAGACTAAACAATTCACTTACCAATTTTGACAAACAAATTCAACGTAATTTAGGTGCGGTTTTTTCAGAGAGAAAATATCACATTCGAGTGCAGTTTCAATATCAGTATCGAATGCAATATTTTCTCTCTGAGAAAACCACACCTATATTACGTTGAATTTGTTTGTCAAAATTGGTAAGTGAATTGCTTAGTCTCCTGACAACAGAATTGAGATCTCAAAATTCAAGAAAAATGATGAGTAGCTGAAAAAATGGAGCCAATCGATGAGATATATCGCATGTCGTTTTGACACAAAATATGGCGTCCATCGAATCACCTTAAGAAGAAAATCGGAATGGAAGCACAGCTTCTCAAGCTGTGTTTTCAACATTCTAGTCCAACTGGACCTATTCAACTTGTCTGGTCAATGTCTGTCAATGTCTGGATACTATTGTTATTCAAGTAAGTACACAGAATCATAGCCTGAATATTTTAAGTAACAGGATGGTGAGAAAGTGCTGGGTCTACTCTATTTTCAGCAGAGCGTAACTTCAACGAAAAAATTGAGTAAAAAAACCCATACAAGCTTGATTTAATCATCATATGTATTTTGTTTCATGTTTAAATGTCAACTTTATTTCTTTGAATAATGTCCCCATAAGCACACCAGCGGAACAAAACTGGGTTGGTCACCCTGTGTGGTCATTGGGAAATCTGTGTCAAACTCTTTTTAAAACGAATTGTATGTATTATAGAGAAATGACGATCACTCGATTTTGGTGTGCTTAGTATTTATATTATACTTACATTATTTCTTAGTTTATTGCTTCTATTGCTCTATTGAGTATCCTAAAAATCAGCTAAAATCTCACAGGGCACCAAGCATTTCCCAGTAAATTCACTTAGGTACTTTTCTTTATTGTTGATCAATGAATAGACAACTAAACTCTTATTAGTTGAATATTTTGTTATATATTTTGTATTTGTTTTTTTATTCTAATGAAAAATTTTATTACAAAATGTCCAGTGTTTCTCCTTTAATCAATTTCAGTTATCTACACCTTATTAAGCATTTATTTTTCTGGAGGTATGAACAAAAGGAATAAGAAGCAGCTTATACAAGACTGACTAATACTTAGATATGGAGGCTATTTGCTGCACTTACTTTAAGTGTTTACATCATAGAGTTCTCATTTTGAAAAAACAAAATTATAACAAAATTACTGCGCATCATGCAAGAAGCAGCTTAAATTTTAGAAACCTGGTAGAAACAACATATACATGCATGTAACATGTGCTATTAGTTTCTCTTTTTACAGATAGGTATTTTGGTGGAAGAGTCATACCTACATATACCTAATATTTCCTTTTTGCAAAACTAAATCCAAACGCCCATGAACTTTTACTTTTATGTGATAAAAAATGAAGGAATCAGATACAGATATTGATTAGGTTATGTAAGCTTACAGTTTTAAAAATATACATTTATAAATAAATTTAGGAACATTGTGTTTAACAGGTATTTTACCTGTAAAAAAATTAAATACACAAAATAAACAAAGAAAAAAATAAAATAAGGCGATAAAAATAAAAGTAAATAAAATAATAATAAAAAAATAAGTAAATGATGAAGTATGAAAAATAAATCAATGGGTAGGTAGTTCAGAAAACGATGCGGTTCTTAATCAAGACCTACATTCCACGAACTTCACTCAGTTTTCACACTGAGGCAAATTCATCATGAAAATATAAGTAATTTCATTCAACCATTAATATGGTCCCTCCCCCCACCCTTCCTAATTTAGTAAGCAAATTGTTGTGTGATGTCCAACGAGCGTCTCTGTGTTTTCATCCCCTCTTACAAAAGTAAGTGCCTAGCCTTTCAGCCACGAATGATCTGATATTGAAAGTAGGCAGTACAATTAGTACGTAAGAGAGCATGATGCAACTACTCATGCTTAGGTGGTCTGGTCTCACCGTATACAGAGTGAAATGTGGGCGCTTTTGACTTCTTGTTTGCCTTTAACGCAATACTCCTTGTTGCAAAATATAGAATTTGAATTCACGAATTAAGAAATAAATAAATAAATAAATTAAAAACAATCTATTTTACAGCCCATAAGTTGATGATTTTCCTCATCCAGGCATCGATGCATTCACGACAGTGAGTGGGAACCAGGTGTCACAGTGGGCATAGAGTTTCCCGCAGTTCCTCATACCATCTGTGGTTGTTTCTTCCCTGTATTTTGACAAATTTTCCCTGAAAAAATATGAAAGTAAATCCACAAAATTAATGACTTAGTAATCCTTCAGTAACTGAATTGACGTATACATTTTTTCTTTGAGCTCTTTTATGTGGGTTTCCTCTGTTGTCAATATACCTATAAGCCCCATAACCATTTAAGTAATTATTTGAGACCAACCAATCACCCATTTAGCTCGACCCTTTGATGAACGTCAATCATCTCTTTTTTATTGCAAATCTGTAAGAGATACTTATTCTTCAGGTGTGTGCAGGGCCGGGTTAAGGGGGTGGCCATACGGGCCGGGGCCCATGGCGGCAAAATTCGGGGGCGGCAAATTTTGCAATTTTTTAAATGCAGGCACAAAAAAATCGGATTCAGAAAAAAATTACGAACAAGATAAAGGTGACAAAATCTCTCATTTCCTGAGATTTCATTAATTTTTAATTTTGTTGTATTTCGATGATACAAAAGACTGCGCACCTTTAATCAGTTGAGTTAGGAGAATAACCAAATACGTAAATGACGTAAAAAGACGTAATTTGGCCTGGAGCGGCACGGCGCAGAGAGGAATGATGACGAAGACTTGAGATGAAAAGAAGTCCTCGACGCGGCGGTCGGCATGTAACATATATTAGCGCCTGCGAGACTGCATGAATACTTCACGCATTGCGCCGAAAACAGTGTGGTCAGCGCGGCACGGCGCGGCGCGGCGGCGGAAGTTAAAATTATTAAACCACATTTTTGTTTGTTTTTTCTTAATTTTTTAGTTCATTTCTTACAAAGACCTTGTCCCCACAGAGATAGGTTTACGGAACTGAACTTTCGCGCGAAGTTCCGTGAAATTTTGCTAGTAGTGTTGACAGGGCTTACGCAAAAAATGTGTCCAACACGAGTGAACGCGTCTTATGCACCTTTCTCCCTCCGGCACGTTCACTTGATGGTTTTTATTGATGTTCCAAAATGAATGAGAAGAGGGCGGCAAAATACAGGCGGTCCATGGGCGGCAAGCAGGTAAATCCGGCCATGGGTGTGTGCTATTTTTTAATGAATCTCTGAACACACATGTGACTTTTAAAACTGGTTATTGTAAGGAGAGCTACGAAGTATGGGTAATGTAGGCACGCAGTTTCACCACCGACTGAATGTTCCTTTAGGTACTTAAGTAGCGCAGGGGTGTAATAAATTGCGATTAATTTGCGTGCCGAAAGCGTTTGATGCTGGATCAATATGTAATGTATGTTGCCTATCCAATAATTGAAGGGGCTTCTCTATGTTATTTTATATTGCACATTGCCTAATTTTCGGGCATACATGGAGCTCATTTTATAGATCGGTCAAGCGAGTAGCAGGGTATCTTCGCTGGCTAAATTATGCATTGCAGTATGGTAAAATATCATAATATCATGGAAAATATCATAGTTTCCTGCCAAAATAAAAATCCATGTTCAGTGTATTCAATTTTATTTTCATTTAAATAGTTTCGTCCCAAAATTGATACTTGAGGATATGAATAGCTTACCTAAATGTATCGAGGAGGAAGGCCAGGGGTGGATGCCTAATGGCAGAATTGTCCATTTCACAAACAAGTCTCCTCCGGCACTCGTCACTAGGAATATCCAAAACGGCAAACCCTAAATCCACCACATTAACTCTAACAGAACAAGGAGAAAACAAATTAAAATTGAAATGTACTTTTGATACAGAAAAAAAAATTACTCATTTAAATTTTTCTTTTTTTCATCGGCATTTTGTTCAATATGGGGATTTCTCAGCCTCTGGAAAACTATAGCAAGCTTGTCTCCTCGTAAGTCGCATCTTTCTTTTCACTTTGATACGAGATTAATTTTTTTGTAGTTGTCGTTCGTGTTTCTTTATACTGCCTTTTCTCTTCAGTAAAGAAATCCGCGAAACTGTGGCGCGAAGCGCTTCCGATGGTTGGGCCGCAGAGGGGCTAGAGGGCTCAGCCCCCTTTATAGTATCCAAAAAACTCGTAAAATATTTATCCTCTACTTGAAGAGCATTCTAAGAAATTTTGAGGCAAGTAAGTTGACTCGTTTCCCTTTGAAAAAATAATATAAGCATGAAAGATTTGAAACATCGGAATTTGAGAGATGGTCTCTGAGTATAGCCATCAATTTTTATTGCTTCAGGAACCAAAGTTTTTTCTTCTCTTTTTCCTTCTTTCTTTTTTTGTCTAGTGAAAACCAAGATAAATGATCGACTAAAATTTTCCAGTACCTAGTTAACTTCATGGTCTATGCAAAGAATATAGCATCTCTGATCGATTTAAGAATGAACCGTGACGAAACTTCTCTTCTTTTGTACCTATACCATTAAAAGGAACGACCAGTGTAAATTTCGTCCTTTACTGGTCGAGATGAGGAACTTCAGAAGAATCAATGCGGGTCACAATATTAACCCTATCTCCCAAAAAGGTACTCATCAGATGCCCATTATTACCTATACCGGCCGTAAAAAAGTTGGAGCAAAATCATGTCTTTTTTACGCATTTTGTGCTTCTCTACAGGTTTGTACTGCCCTGTGGATATGTTGCCTATCCGAAACAATGGAAGGCGAACTACAAGTGAACCAAAAGTCTAGAAGATCGTCTGTTACATCAAACCCTGAAACAAGATAATTTAACCATTTGCCCTCCCCCGTAGGTTTCTTGCCTAACCATTGACGTATAATACAATCTAGACCGCGCATTGGGCCCGACTTTAGGCGGGGAAGGTAAGACAGCTAGGGGGTAAAGACGCGCCTTCAGCCTAGTTGATACCGCCGGATATACGAGCTAAGTGTACCTGTATCACTTGTATCAGGCAACGGCACTGATAAGACTGGCATTTCCATTGTCACGGTCGGTACACTTACTGACTGTTGCTGGGTTGCTTATCGTCTCGTCTGAAGGGACTCTAGTCTTGCCGAAATTTCCTAATGCGCGGTCTAGATTGTATTATACGTCAATGTGCCTAACCGAGAAAATTGAAGGCAAACTTCATACGTATACAAATCGGAGACGCTGTGTTCTACGCTGGATGAAACGGCGCACCAGCAGTATAAATTCAACGGCGCACCAGCAGTATAAATTCAACGGCACTCTTATGTGATGTGATCTGACCGGGCAAATTTCGAATGAATGCATTACATCTTCTTCTCTCACAGACAGATCTAAGGGAACTAAGAGTTAATATCCTAAAACTTAATCCAATTTAAAGGCAAGTGACTAATTTTGAGTTCAACAGGTACCATCTCCAAAAAATGTGTACCCTCTTGATGCAAGGGGCGTCGCCGGTAAACTTCTGCATGGCATGGTTGGTAACACGTGAAGCAGGTGACAACCGCGGTCTGATCCAGGGTTACCGCCCTCAATTTTACCATTTGTTCCACACTGCCGTGCTAAGGAAAAACGCCGTATAAGCCACCAAACGTTGCCAAGTTTCCTTCGATAAAAACCAAAATAACTGAGAAATTTGTGAATATCAAAAAAAAAAAAATTCTCAGACAATTTTGTACGCAATTTAATCCAAAATATCTGAAAATTTCAAGGACAAATTTTGCAAGAATGCCATCAAAAATATTTATTTTATCAAGGGAAATTTGGCAACTCTCGAAAGTACATACGGCCTTCTTCCTTAGCACGGCAGTATAGGACTCAGTCAGTAGCGTGGCGTGCTTTGCGATGTATCGATTGATCTGCCATTTAAACCAATGAAAAAGGATCGATAGACAGGGTGTTCGCAACGAACACCTCAATAATCGATTCTTTACCATAGCTTCAAATGGAGGGATATCGACAGTCGATCATTCACACCACGCCACTGGCATTCAGTGTCCATGCTCTCCCTTCAAAGTCACTCTACTGAGGAGACATCGGAGAAAGACTTAGACAGGACGTTACGGTCCCTGTAGGCACGTAACAATCTGAGAGCAACAAAAGGCGTGCCGACGGACACGAGGATTGTGAGCGACGAATACTTACGTGTTGAGCATTCTGGATACGACACCTTGGGACTCGGAGCTCCTGGAGTAAGGCCCGGTGGCAGTGGGCTCGTAGTGCGGGAAGTAGTCCTCTCTGTAGGCAGTGTGGCCGCTGGGAGGGTATTCGGCCGAGTGGGGAATCTGCGGGCACATGGGGCCACCGCCGCAGTGGACGCCCCCGTAACCCCCGGCCACCTTGCTCAGAAGACCGATTATTATCACCGCCACCAGAACCACCAGCACCGCCTTCACCTTCAGGAACAGCAACGCGCCCAAAGCGCTTATCCCCGTCGGCACTGCAATACAAAGTTCATTTTAATACGGTAATTGATTAAAAAAAAAAAATCGAGCTACAAGCCAAAAATAAATTAAACAAGTAATATTTCAAACTCTATGATCGGGAGGTCTCGAGTTCGATTCCCGGCCAGGCGACCCGAGTTTGATGGTCTCAAATGGTTGCCTGGGACTGGTTGTTCAGTAGGGACGGAGGGGGACGGGGGGATTATCGATTCTTTCCCTAGGTGTAAAAGGCAGATCAATCGATATATCGCAAAGCACGCCACGCCCATGCTCATGATAGACAATCGCCCTTTCCGCGGACGGAGGAACGAACTCCATTCGGAGGTTGCAAATTTGACGCAAACTATTTGATTTTTTACAAGAATATACGCGAGTAATTTTCGTCCAAATTTTTCTGATTTTCCATACGATCAGACGAAAAAATCAGTGAAATTTCCAGTGAGGAATTCTCAATTTAAGCTTCTCCTGGTAAGTAGGTACATAATTTGCGCGGGGGAATTCGGCAGTATTGAAATGTAGAGACGTTCTTTCGTGAGGAAAACGACGGGATATAAGACGCAGGAAACATGGAGTGTTTCTATTGGTTGAAAGCTGGTAGTTGTTATAGAGAGAGAGGGAAAATAATGGAGGGTCTATCGTGGGCTGTCATTAGTTAGTCTATTACCTTCCTTGTCAACTGTAACCACTAGCTTCTACCGATCATCGTCAATAGCTTCTATCAATTTTCATTTCGAAAGTTATCATGTTGCTTCTATGAATTTTAGTTCATAAAATCTAGGTAGATAGGTCCTCTAGGTTACATTCATCCACCCTAAAAAAGCGTGCACTAAAGCCGCAAAGTGGGCCTAACCTCAAGTTAGTGATTGCCAAAAAGTAGCAGGAAGAAATTGAACGTTTAAAAAAGTATCAGATATTCAAAGATCTATGTGCGTAAGTTTGCAAACGATCTATAACGTACCTTCTTTCCAACTGCCTAGTATGGAAACTGCCTAGTATGGACAACGTTAAAAAATTTTTTTTTGGGGGGGTTGATTTGCTTATAATACGCCGTGGTTGGTCTAAAGAACTATGAGTTTTTACCATTGTACGCCGCACTGTTTGACTCTAGAAGGCGCGCTTTTTAGAGAGCCGATCACTTCTGCATACGTAATTTTTGGCAACAATAGAGCTTGATTACTAACTTTCGAGCGCCTGTACGGAACTTCTTCCCGATCTTGGAACTTTCACCACATTCTGGATTTGGGAATAGTGATGTTGTTTGGCCCTCTTTCCAACTTTTAAGCCCACACTCACCCACATTATCGCTTAAACCCTTGACAAGTGTAATCGAGGGAACTGACCGATTCAAAAAAGAAGCAGAGCAGAACGCCTTTGTACTTTTCAATCGATGTCTTGCTGACCTGCTCAATTTGGATGCAATATTGTAAGAATGAGCCTCATCAATCAAGATAAGTGATGCAGGAACGTTAAAGTTTCAATGGACCAGTGAACAAGGTGCAAATTTGTTACTCATACCTAAATAAAAACGTTAACTTGGATAGAAACTGATTTTAGTCATTTTTGCTCCGCAAAGTGTGTTCTACATGAAATGTTGAAGAGGGAATATAAGTAGTGCTTAACTTTGTACTTTGCATGGAGGCCCATTATCAACTTCAGAAAGCTTTAAATCAATTTGTTTCAGCTGATTTTGCACACACACACACACATGCATTACTTGAATGTCACTATCAAAATTCTTTTCAACGGGGAGAATCGAGCACAAGTTACCGGGCATTTCACCGCGATGGTCATTATAGGAACACAATTTAACTCGGCTGTTACCCCCTGGTAAAAATTGGCGATACGAGCTGCGTTTCAAAATACCATAGGAGTTCTTATAGCCGACCAAAGAAGGCTATTGAAAATCATATAGCTGGCTGTAGAAAGCGGGGCAAATCATATAGCCGGGCTATACGAAGCTATAAAAAAGTATACAGTCGGGCTATAGTTCCTATCGCCGGGCTTTACACTTTATCGCCATTGGCTATAAAAGGCTATAAGAAATTGTGTAGAAATTCGTGTGCTTTGGAAATCATCAAGTTTGATACGGAACTACCTTAATATTTACAAAACACACAATATATTTTCCTTTAAAACATATTTTTTTTTTTCATCGATTAAAATGAAAATAGTCCATACAGAGTGTGCAAACATTTCAAAATCATGGGTTGAAAAACGCTGACTCCGCAAGATTAAATATTAGAGCCTAACACAAAGCGAAGCGGTGACGCACTGGCGCCTACAAACCTAACAGGGATACTTCACGCATCGCGCAATGCGTGAAGTATCCCTGTTTGGTTTGTAGGCGCCAATGCGCGTTCCGCGCTGGCTGCCCGCCCGCCGCGCCGCAGCGTGCCACGGCGCTTGAAGCAACTATTTCACATCAGAGGTATTGCACAGTATCATTAGAAATTGAAGGCGCTCCATAATATTAAGAATGACAGACATCCTTTAAAAGTACGGAGCTTTCCTCGCAAAATAAATCAAGATACTACGGCACAAAAAGAGAGCGGTTGTCCAAAAACTAACTAAGTCCTAGTATCCGTATTTAGTAACGTTTAGCATAAACTTCATCGTCTGGCTGTTGCTTAGTCGCCATCGGCTATAAAAGGCTATAAGAAATTGTACAGTCGGCTACAGAAGCTATTGGAAATCTTACAGCCGGCTTAAGGTCTATAGTATTTTGGAACACACATCCTACTACCAATTTTTACCAGAGAAAGATTACAACGAAAGTCACTCGTTCTTCGAACAGCACGTTAAATTAAAATGCAGGATACAACTATTTCAACTCCTGAGCCGCTCAAATTGCATCCATCAAGTTGAAGGCGAACTTGATTTTTTACTCCAATTTCAGTTACTCAAACTTGACCGTGAAGGCGGTGCTCAGTTCTAACTGCTGCAACTTGCGACTTAATAAAAACGTTTGCAGGTATAAAACGCATAGGTTGAAAGAGTTGTGGGTGGATATCCGGGAGTTAAAAAGGTTTTGGGTGGAAACGTGTGAGTGAATTGTCCTTTAGGCGAAAAGACTGTCGATGAGTAGTCCAGGCCCCCATTATTTGAACATTGTTCTATTTTTATAACTTCCCTGATTTGATTGTTACACTAAAGTAACCTTGTCAGAACTTTCCTTTTTTTTCAGGGGTGGGGGCAAGAGGATGGGCAAATAGGGTAAAGTCAATGAAAGTACATGTACAATGAGGAGCAGGTCTGAAAACCCGTCGAATGTGAAAGAAGCGTGGATATTCCCAAGAATACACGGCCCGATCAGAAACAGATTTGGAACTTTCCGATAAAGAAGCGATCTTGCAATACTGCTTTAAAAATCTTAACCGGGGTTACTTGTTGTGTGACACGAATTGTTGGTGATTGCATGACTTTGACCACTGAGATCACAGGACCGCCTCAACTATTGTACAGTTACGTACAATCGTGAATCTCTCATCCACGGATGTGTTGACGTGTTGCGGATGGTGCCTCGCATGAGAAGCAAAGAAAATCCACTGTCGCAATGGTTTTTCAGCATGTGCCCTCTGTCGAGAATTATAATTTTGATAGTTTTAATTGAATTTCTTTATTATTTTACAGGACTTCAAATTTCGTCAGCATCCTGGTGATGCATAAAATAATATTGTACAGCGCGCTCTTTATCACCCTTAATTTCTATCGAGAAATTTTGGCAATAAGATTCGGCGAAATATCGAAAGAACGAAAGAACCTAACTACATCTGCGTATTGCCAAATTTCCTCTCGCGAATTGCAATTTTACCAGGTAAAGCTTGGCTTTCCTAACTGAAAACGTTGCCGATGTTTCTTCTGATCTGATCTCATGCAAAAAGCAAAAAAATTTTAGACGAAAATCGCACAGGTTGTGAAATATTGAAGTATTTGCGCCAATAAATTTTGCAACCTTGGAATGGAGTTACGTTCCCGGGAAAAGACGATTTTACTGATTTTATTTTTCCTCCGTAGATACAGGTAATTCCACTCAACTGCATCATGTGCTCGGCCTTTTTCTGATCCATAAGTTATATATTATTAATAACCAAGTGACTCGTGAGTGGATTCAGATCATGGGTAGCAGGAAAACTTTTTTTGTTTTTAATTTTATTTGAACTGGGTGTAACATTGAAAATACAAGAATAAAATACGTCGCAATTCGCAATCACATATCAATGGCCAAAGGGCAAAATCACGTATCTCCGTTTGCGACGTTTCGAACTTTCTGTCACACTTTATTTATTTTTTGAGAACCACTCGACGTAATTTCTTGAAAACCATCTCTACTTCATTCTTCACCCGAATATTCTGAAAAAATCTCAAGCTATAAAGTTGGTCCGTATCCTCTCAAAAAAATGAATTAGGAGCGGACATTTTGAAACACACCACAATGGAGATACATGGTTTCGCAGTGTAGCCATCGAGTTTTTGCGTACTTCTACAACAGGAGCCTCGTTTTTGTGAGCGAGCCCAGGATGAAAACAGAAAATCCAGCTCGCAATCTTATCCCGGAGTTAAGCCCCTCAATGAGCCCGGGTACATCAAATTTAGGGAGTCTGTTCTCTCCACCTCCTCTCGACAACTGAGGCGGATGATCTGCCGCTTCAAGCAACGTTTAACGCTTAACAGCCGGCAAGTTTAAACAGTTTCTCCTGGAAAGTCGGAATTATTAAGAAGCTTCAGACCCACCGCCGAATATCTTGCCCTCCAATCTTAAAAGAAAATTGACATTGCCACCAGATTTTCCGTGTAAAGTTTCTGTTCTCGTTCATACTCCACCTAATTTTTTTGCCTCTACTAGGTGAACTCCATTTCGAACATGTAACAACAGAGGAGAAGAAAATAAATAGCGAAAGGGAAATAAGTAGAACAAAAAGAAAAGAAAGAAACGTTAAAACCATGACACCTGGTAGTATACAAGAAGTCACCGAAGGAGGCTGGTCATGCTTTTCAGTTTCTTATATTTTTGGGTTAGGATGCTATGATGTAGGATCCTATGCAATTACGTTCTTCAGTGAAAACCTCACAAAAAAACCTCCTATTTCGCTCGCATCATGTAGTTTGAGGTCTAATCCCGTTTTATAATAATATTTAGGTAACCGCGATTTAAAGTTATCTGCAACACTTAACGTCAGGGTATCAACACTCAAAGCTAATTTGGCAACAGCCGAGTTAAAAATTAAGATAAGACGGAAGGCAGGTAAATAAGGGGAGGAAACTTAGGGCACATGCATAATATGTATTTACTATATAGGGACAGCCAATGAGCGCTATACGAATTTTATCTGTGTCAAGTCGCCTCATCCTATATCCTACCCTATCCAGTGATTTCAGATTTCAAGTGCCCGACTGAATTTTCCTCAGTTTCCACAGGGAGGCTATAATAATGCTTATGCCTCATTAAAATATCCCTGTTAATCTTCGTGGACGAGGCAAAAAATGACGATATGAAGGTTGGTTGGTTGGTATATACGTTAATTTGGTGCTTTTAACAATTGAGCCATTAACACCTTAGAGGAGAGATCACCAAGAGAGACGAAGGTGTGTCTGTATGGGCAATGATAGCAAGTCACATTTTGATTATGATTGAGCTAACATTAATTTAAAGCTCAATTGGTTAGTACACAGTGGCGATTTTCACAAGTACGTAATACTGCTCGTCTCACATTTCACTCCATTATAAATATTGACTCTGGGTTCAGCCAGCCTGCGTCACCTGTAGAATCGATTATTTTACACACATCATACTTAGCCATACCTAGGTCATTTAGCTGAGGGTCCTGGCCCCTCTACCACCGAGGGGTCTAGGGGGTATTCCATACCCCCAGCTTAGAGCCGGGGGTCTCCCCCGGGAAATTTGTGAAATTGTAAATCTATTTGAACGCATTTTGAGGCTTCCGTGTTACTTCCAATGTTAGGCATCAACGATCATGCCGATGGCCATAGTGCAAAACCATGCATCTCCAATTGCAATTTTTCAAAAGTTCCATTCCCATTTTCTTTTTTCTAAGGAAAAATAAGCCAACTTTAAAGCTCGAAATTAATACAGAATATTCTACTAATAGAGAGGAAAACTCAGAGAAATTTTCAAGAAATCACGTTGAATGGTTTTCCAAAAAGAAAAAAATGAAGTATGACAGGAAGTCTGCTACGTTGCAAACGAAGATACCTATACGTGATTTCGCACTTTGGCCATCTATGTGTCACGTATCGTAATTTTCCTCTCGAAAGAACGTAACTAAAGGTCAATGTTGCCAAAATTCTTCGCACACATTGGGTTTTATCCTAAATATCCTTGGAATTCCTAACTGAAATTTACCCTGATTTTTCTTTCGATCTCGTGCAAAAATCGTTACAATTTTCCATGAATACAAAGCAGGTACATTTTCGTAAAAAATTGAATTGTTTGGGTCGATTTTGCAACCTTGGAATGGAGTTAAGTTCTTTCGTCCTGGAAACGACATGTGCCATTCAAATATCCGAGGCTTTACACTCATCTGACAAGGCGTACTCACTGAAATAAGCAGCATCCCTGGATTGAGCACTGAGGTGACTGGCTTCCGCGTTGGGTTCACCGACAGCGTCCGTGCTTACTTCGGGTCGGGTTAGCGGTAGAGCTTTCGGCAAGTTGGTATGACTGACGGCGGCAGCCGCTAGCACGAACCCGGACCCGGTCACAACAACAAAGACCAGGAAACAGACGACTTTCGCGTCAAAGAACATCGTAACCACTGGCCCGGAATGCGGAGACACTAGACTTATACGCGGCCGGGCCTCTTCCTGGCGCTTTTATGCCTTATGCCCCCGAGCCCTCCCCCCCTCCCCCCACCGACGACCCCCTCCCTGGTCCGTTTCGATAATTAGTTATTGCATTCATCTGCATTCGTCACAAAATGACAAAATCATAACTAGAACCTGACCACCGCACCCCCGCTCCGCCCACCCGCGGAAGAGAGCCTCTCTTCTCACCCCCTCCCTTCGCCTCCTCTCTTGATTCACTTCCACCACTCTTGCACATCTACTGAAACTCTGCCGTCAACACGCTCTCGAGTTTTCACTTTCCTTTTCTCCGTTCAGCCCCCATTTTTCCGGGACTCTCAGCGGGACTCCGTAACATTGCTCCGTAACAGCGTGCTGTTGCCAGCAATTTTTCACGGGGAGGATATCTACGACTGTCGAAAAAATCCTGGAAAATCTGCAAATTTTAACAGGGCGATTCTTGAAAATCTGTTGATATTTATATTTTAGGAGACCCTCTGAAGGTATTTTTAAGTTAAAACAGGGGGAAAATTTTAAGTAAAAAATGAGATGTTAAAAATTCTTAAGAGATCTGGCCACTGTAGTTTTCTATTTAAACATTTAAAGTGCGTAGAAAAAAGTACAAAAGTAATTCTCTTAAAAAATAGTGGGTTTTCAAAGCTTTCATCGTGTAGATTTTACCAAACGTAAATTTGAATTAAGAAACTATAAAATGGAGACTTCCTTAAACATAATATCAAACAGATTTTTTTTTTCAGGAATATTTTAAAACCGTCAATATAGCTAGAATATGATCAACGACGAAACCAATTCACTGGGACAAAAGACGTTACGGCCATTTACACTTGCACTTAAGATACTCAACGGACATCAAGCTAGTGTAAAGGAGTAAAAATATAGCTCAAGCACGTATCCCCTCCCATGATGATTTGAAAACGGAGCAACCGTAGATGAGCAACTATCACAAAATATCATATATCTAGCGCAATATACCGATTACCTAGGTACCTAAATTCCCCAGAGCTGATATGATCATCTCCCCTCCAAACGTACCTCAGCATTAAAATAAAGTGTGCACTTACCCTTAAACTTATGCTTATGCACCTAAAAGTAAATACTTTACGAAAAAATTACCTCTCCTAATCCCCTCCTACTCCTCTTTTTCTCTCCTTTTTGATGAGTCGTGTGTCAACACCTCACGAGATATTCTATTCGTACGGGAATACAACAATATTTCAAATTCCGAATCTCATTTGAACCGCGTTAGGCAAAAAGAAACCAAACCACACCAGTTATTGTTGAAGTTAATCGGGCAATTCAATTTTTCACACGAAAACGGTTGTGCGGATTTATGTGTAAATTTTAGTGAATTTTCTGCATGCAACGAAGCAAATTCTTCAAAATTTTCAAAGGAATCTGAGCACACGTTCTGTTTAAAAAAATTAAAAAACCCCAATTAAATTTGGCAATAGCTGCAGAGCCGGACTAAGGGGATGGCCACATGGCGGCAAATCTATAGGGAGCGGCAAATTTTGCAATTTTTTTAAATGTAGGTATAAAAAAAATCGATTTAAAAAAAAAAAATTACAAACGAGAAAAGGCAACAAAATCTCTCATTTCCTGAGAGTATAGTAATTTCAAATTTTGTCGTCTTTCAGTGATACAAGAGACAGCACCTTTAATTAGTCGAGTTAAGAGAGAAACCAAACACGCAATTTGGCCTGGAACGGCGCGACTTAGAAAGAAATGATGACAAGGACTTGAGATGAAAAGGAGAAGCCCTCGACGCGGCGGTCGGCATGTAACACATATTAGCGCCTACAAGACTGCACGAATACTTCACGCATTGCATCAAACACAGTGCGGTCACTGCAGTCAGCGTGAAACGGATAGCGCCTACAAGAATGCATGAATACTTCACGCATTGCGCCAAAGACAGTGCGGTCAGCGTGAAACGCTTAGCGCCTACAAGACTGTCGGAATACTTCACGCATTGCACCAAACCCAGTGCAGTCTGCGCGGCGCGGCGGCGGAAGTTAAAATCATTAAACTACATTGATGTTTGTTCTTTCATAATTTTTTCGTTCATTTCTTATGAATGGAAGGCCTTGTCCAGACAGAGTTAGGTTTGCGGAACCTATAACTTTCGCGCAAAGTTCCGTGAACTTTTGATAGTAGTGATGACAGGGCTTTTCCAAAAAATGTGTCCAACACGAGTAAACGCGTCTCATGCACCCCTCCCCCGCTGGCACGTTCACTTAATAGTTTTAATTGATGTTTCAAAACGAATGAGAAGGGGGCGGCAAGATACAGGCGGCCCATGGGCGGCAAGTAGTTAAATCCGGCCCTGAATAGCTGATGTGGCTTGGTTCCTTTCCGCCAAACGCGCTCCATTCATTGTCAAGTGGATAATATGCGAGATTCATCATTGAAAACCCCATAAAACAGTGTAAAAACCAGGCGCTTCAAAGATTCAATTATTTGGTAAGTTTTAACCCAAACAAGGAGGGCTTTATCCCTTTCGAACCCTCTCTATCACGTGACATCTTCTATTCATTTGGTCTCGTCACTTTTTAGGGGGAGTTTTTTGGATTGGGCCGGGGTGGCTACCGCCACCTAGAGTATTGTAGCGACTTTTTCCGCGGTGTCTCAGTGAATCCCGTCTCTCCTTCCGCCTCCCACCTGAGACGGATTAATTGGTGAGATACGAGTTCTTCATATGCTTGACCAGCAGAATAACTATTTAATAGATGGAAAATCCTTTACGTCCATCGGTTCATTGACGCTCGAATTGGCATGGAGTGTCTGGGGGGAGGGGGGACTATAGACTTGTCTCCTGAAAAGCATGAAACGGAGGCACGGAAAAAACAATCCTGCTTTAATATATTCTTTAGAGATCGGCGCTAACGGTCCCGCTGCCGGGCACAATAGCCGTCTTGACAGCGACCAACCCGGTTTTATTTCTCATCCAGAAACAAAAAACCACTTTTCCCTTTCCGTGCTTTCGAGGAAAGATTTACGAATTCATCTCATCGCGTTTCAATTTTAGCTTCTGCATCGTTTCAAAAGTCGGATTGAGGGATTGTATCCCCTTTTTCGTGTGTATTTTAGTCAATCACTCCCATTGATTAGTTTTGCCCGCTTGAGCGACGAGCGTACCTCCTTCCGTTTTCACCAGACAACGTGTTTTTCTAACAATATTGTTAATTCATTTAAATATGCTCATGTTTATAATTGCTGCACCCAACTGAGGTTTAAAAAGGTGAGAGAAGAACGCATTATATTTACAAACATGATTTAGTCAGGTGGATTTGGTTCGCGTGTTTCAAGAGGTCTGAAATCCATCCGTTTAGATCACGAGGTAAGCTGACGCTTGTATATGTTCACAATATATATTCGCCAAAGTATGAATAGGGGGCCGTTCATGAAATGTGTTTCACTGAAAACCCTGATTTTTTAATTTCCCCCGCTTACCCGTTACGCGCCCCCGAAACAGTTCTACAAATCTACATTCCACCTTTCGTCGAAGTCCCGTCTTAGATTTCCGGAAAATCGACTTCTCACGCCAATATCAGACTCACTTCAAGCAGCTCAGGACTTTTCTTTCCTCTAGGTTGTTCATAGAGGGAAACGTTGACAATTTTTTAAAACAAAAATCCCAATTTGTTCAAAAAAAATTTATCTACTAATCTTTATCGATTTCTAGAGGGAAAAAAATCGATGGAATGTGAGATTATCAGATAAGTGCTGAGATGCCGGCATGTTGAGATGAGCTAGGCAGCTGTACACGCGTAGTCATCAATCTACTATTCATTTTTGGCGTCTAGATGATGTTTTACCTACAAGTCATTTTTTTATGCTTAAAATTTAATTTCAAGAATGCCTTATTTTTTTTTATTACCGTTTGAGCCAGCAAGTTTAAATAGAATACAACTACTAGAAATAACTTGAAAAGTCAAAATGCGTCAATCGACATACTTGGCGTATTTGAAAAAAATGTCCATTACACCAAAGAACCGCCACCTATTGTCATGATCCCACCCCTCTCATATCAGCGAGACCTAAATTGCGATAACCCAGCCACTGTGCGGAATACAGAGGGCACACATTTGGGGACGGGGACCATAACGACAGCCCAGTGACACGGAAGAGGACTTTATAAGAGGGAGGTACTCAAGTGTCGTCATCCTCAGTAAGATGTGTCGAAGAGCGAAACGCTGAGCTTTGACGCATGTGTTTGGGTTCTCAGATATAGCAGTGCAGCTCTTGAGCTTATATCATGATCGAACCCACACAGACATTAATCTAGAGCTGAGTAGTCGAGTGCACCAGCTACCCTGCCGTGCTGAGGAAAAACGCCGTATGAACATTCGAGAGTTGCCAAATTTCCTTCGATGAAATGTTTATTTTTGAGGAATGTTATGGAAAATTTTCCTTGAAATTTCAAGAAATTACATGAAATTGCAAACACCATTATCTGAAAATAGGAGGAAAATATTCACAAGTTCACTAGGGAATTCGTGTTTTATCGAAGGAAATTTGGCATCGCCTGAAGGTTCATACGGCGTTTTTCCTTAGCACGGCAGTGCAGATTTCCCGAGGACCTCACACTGAAATTATTAATAGCTCTTCGCATTCTGTGCATCCTACCGACCAGGCTGGCTCGCGTCGAGACACAGTCAAGGGACATCACCCGCACCTGATTTTGACAACTGGAAGGCAAATAGGATGCAGAAACCATCAACGCTTCAACCGTGACTTCTACATTTACGATCAATGAGGGAGTACGACGTACGTCAATGCGTCGTTTCCCGAACGAAGGAACGTAACTCTATCCCAAGGTTGCAAAATTGACTCAAACAATTCAATTTTTCACAAGAATGTACCTGTGCAATTTTTGTCTAGAATTTTGCTGATTTTTGCGCGGGATTAGAGGGAAATTGGTCAAAATTTTAGTCAGAAATATCCAAGATTCCCCTGGTAAAAATACA